GATGGTAGTAGTGGCGTACTTCGCATAGCTTCGCAGTCCAGCCACTGAACGCCGGGCGGACAAAGAAAACGGCATGCGCGGCATTGTGACAGTTGACGTGACGTGCCTCGGAGAAAAGTTGCACTACTGTTGCGATTTTTATTTTGCTCTCGGTATTGCTTAATTCTTGACATACTGAGCCTACAAAATTCATGTGTGTACTTTCGAACATTCTGCATCGGCTGGCGAAAACTCCGAAATATTCTGGTAAGATTTGCACTATAGGGAGTCCAGATACCAAAAAAGTTGCATTACTGGTGCAATGATAGTATGTAATTGATATCACTTAAAGCATTGCGATCAAGCCAACCGACTTCATGATTCATAGAATTGCAATGCCAACGGGCCCTGACGACAGTGTCATTCGATAAAGTATGAATTCAAGGTTGAGAGCATCAACAAAGTCAATTGCAAACAAAGCATCGTACACGACAGATCATTAAGAAGACACGCTGTAAACTAGCATGGGTCCCTGATGATGTAAGTACAAGTCCGAACGATGATTACCACAGCACATGTCCATAACGATCGCAGCCCTAGATTATCGTCGTCCATTAATTGTCCGTGCATGCCTACAATTCAGCCATCACGAATGCCCTCTGAAGAATCAGTGAGAACACATGGAATGAACCTCGCTTAGTTAGTTATTGTAAAATTGGGACTGAAGTTCCCTGAGTCGCCAAACACTGAGGACAGAGTTAGCAATCGTATCAAAGGATTCGACGCACAGATACTCACAGACAATGGCATAGTCATTTCCAGCGGTGACATTCGGACAGGTCACCTCAATGCTACCCAAAAGAATGGAGAAGTTGGCGGCTAGGGGGTTTTCTGGTCGCCCAGTGTAAGTAATCAAGTTCAACGTCAAAGTAAAACTATGAAACGCACCATAGTCCTCAAGGCCATTCGCTGCGAGAACTACCCGACCAACTGTGTTCGTGATTTGTGATGGGGGGTTTGTTGTATTCCTTGAAAACACATTGAGAACTGAAGGGCTAAGAGCGCGAGTGATAACAGAGCTAGCGCATACCAGGTCACATTGTATTTTTGGCCAACTATCCAGACAGTAGTAGCATTCGGTGAGATGATAGGTGGGTCCCACACGTCGCGCGCAATGTGGACCGGGAGTGCAGAGACGAAGGCAACAAGAGAGAACAGGACGAAGAGAATAGTGCTCGTAAATTTGTTGATGGACATAATGAATCGTTACTGTGGTTTGCAAAAGAGGTCGTACAGCAAGGGGTGTTGAGCACAGCTGAAGGCAAAGGGCACCGCGGGTCGTTTATATACGGACCGGCCGATCATGCGGTGCGGCACCACCTTCCGGAACTGTCGAGTGATCGGACTGCCGCGTCTGGTCTTTCCCATCATGGAGTCCATCCCCGCCTTACACCGGCTGCAAGCTCCATGCCATTCATCTCACTGCTCAGTCCACTGCTGCGCTGACGCGACGTGCGTCGTAGGCTGGCCGCGACCTCTCATCCGGAATCCGTGCAGTCGCTGCGCATTGCAAAATTACTCGTCAGATCTTACGCTGTTGCGCGGCTTAGTGGAGCATCTGCGGGCGGGTCGATCGCGCAGCAATTTGCGGTGAACTCAAGCATCCATATGTGCTTATTTACATGTTCATTATCGATCCCTGGCTAGTATTTTCGGGATGTTATCTGCGCATTCTGGATCCTGAGATCGCAATACCCTAACGTTTATTCCTGGGACCGTTTGACTAGGTTGGCCGCAGTATGATAAAATGATCAACAACACAGGGTCGTCCAGATCTGAGCGGTTTTATAATTACGTACTGGTATTAACGGTATACATAAACGAAAGCACTGAACTTTTCGTGAAGTCATCCAAGCGTGTGCGGTGAATCGCTGATCAATAGTAATCCTTAGACGTTTAAGCAGTTCTTAGGGCGTGAGCTGGCTGTTTTTCGATCCCACATTGCGTCTCAAATACGATGAGTTCGGTAGCGTTTCTTGGTATCACACAGAATCTGCCCTAAATCAAAGTAGTACACCATCTCCATTAATTGTATCGAAGTCCAAAATAACGTCACATCAAAAGATTATCTCCAAGTATCAATAGACATAGGGAATGATGCGATATGGGACAAGTTGAGTATACTTGTGCCAGTCTTTACCATACCTGCAGACCTGAGTGAGTCATAAGGGGTAATGTAAAGGAACGACTTACTTTTTCTCACAGTTCTCGTCATCACGGATCTGTCTGTGGATGAGTAGGACCGTGAAGTACATCACATAGAAGTATGTGATGGGTGTTTCAATGCCAGTTGGAAGGGACCACGCCAATGCCATGATTAGATCACCCCTGATGCCTTTTCAGCCAGAAGCTTATCGAAATCATTCAGAAACTTACATGTAATTAGGATGCCGCGAGAGACCCCACCAACCCGAGATCAGTAATTTCGTACCGCGCTCAGTTGTCATGAACTTGAGGCCTTCGAATACACTTATTAGCAAGCACTCAATGAGAAATTATCTGATGCTAACTCTTGGGATTACGACCATTGCGGAAGTCATTCTTCTCACCGTTGGCACTTCGGAAGATGTAGTAACCAAGGAGATTGACCGCGACAACGACGGCTGTCCACATCGAACCCAACTCGACCTGCCTAAAGACCAAGTAACGAGCCTGTAGTGAATATACAAATGGAACCCAAGCTAGGTCTCCAACAGAGAGCATGAAGCCGAATCCATCCGTCGTGATGTCCATAGTTGTAAGGATTGCCGGCTTTCGAAACCCGTCAGTACGCAGCACAAGTGAAGTCAATTAACGACGTACGTACCTCATTGTACAAACTATCTGCAACATACCAGAAGTGGAACAAGAAAACCAAAATCATGGAATCGGTGATGCTGCCACCTCGGCGCACGGCCTGTTCACAAGCCATGCTAATGTCAATTATGACCCAAAGGATGAGCCCCGGACGGAGTTCGTTGAACGTTTTGACATCAAAGGCTCCAATGGATGGATTTAATTCTCTGCCGATGAAGAACTGGGTTGAGTTAGTTAGGAGCCAATACTGATAAAGTGGCAAACACACATCGTAGATGATGTTCCCGGTGTTTCCACCAAGCGCGAGAAGGGCACCATCACGGAAAGAGGCTATGTAGCACGCAATTCCTTGTACGAGGCTCATGAGCAGCGCGGCCGTGACGAATCCCACCCATTTATCGTAAATGAAGGTGAAGGACTCAATGCCGTAACGCCAAATGTATCCTGATGTAAGACCGAGGGCAAGGAGGAAGGTAGAAAATGCTACAGAAAACATGAGGTCAATGCATCTCCACGAATGAGTCAACTTGCCATTAATCTTATACTTCTTCTTTCCTCCTGTTCGCAGCGGCACTCCTTCCACCCAATCTCCCGGCAGGATATACCACGCTACAACACAAAACGCATACCAGCAAAGATATATCAAAGTTGCCTCAGTGTCCCACAAATTCTTCCACCACGACCAGTCACCGAGAACATCAAGGATAGCTGGAGTAGAGATCGCAGGCGGGCAGCCACCAGTGGCTTCCGAGCAACTGAAGTAGAGTGCATATGTTGTTATAGGTACGGAGAGTGTCACAAAGAGAGCACCAGGAGGGCCAAAGAATTCATAACCTTTTGTACGAGGATTGAGCGTGGATTCTGAGGGCATGGTAGCCTATGGTGGCGGTGAGAAGCGAACGCAGCGCCCATTTGAAGGACTCGAAAAGGTTGGCCCGCGCCAGTGGCACGATAGGTTATAGTACGATATTCTACTTGCGCTTACTAAGTAATTCCCGAGGACCCCGTCTTCAATTTGTGGAAGGTTTCACATACCATGTCCAAATTTGTGTTATTCGAGAAAACCCCCGCTGACCGTCGCGGTGGTTCTACAGGTCCAACGTCTTGGCGTGCAGCCATTATGAAGTCGTGATGGGCTTTTTCTCTTCAAGGAGGGGCGAACTCTCATCAACCAACCTCCAGGACGATAGCACGGTTGTGCGTGTTATTCGCTCCAGATTTGTATGCTTACTTTTCTCTCACATTCATTGATGTATACTCACTATTAACTTTTTGTAGTATGGCAAGGGGAAAGGCAAAGAACGCGAGACTGCCGACGATTCTACGCTGTATTCCGCTCCGCCTTCGTCTTTCTCTTCCAATCACGTTCCTTCCCCAGGAAAGCACTCGTTTTCGTCGACCAGAGCGCGTGCTTCGTCCACGGAACCGCATCGGGTTCGCACCTCTACATCCGCATTCTTCCCGCGACATCTGGAGAAAGAGTCGCATGGCCCTCGCTCGTCAACAGATGCCCTCACGTTAGTATTTCGTACTGTTCATGGTGTGGCTGAGATTTTGAACCCTTCCAGGATCACACTGGCCCAGAGATTGAATGAACTAGCTACGGCGAATTCGGAAGGCTTGCTCAGGTGAGTAGTTTTGGAGAGCTTATCTCGAGGTTTGCTCATGCCCTATCTTTAGCGACGATGAGTATCGTCTTCTGAGACAGAATCTTTTTGAACGCTTCGCTAGCGGGGCACCAGTACCATCGGAGACGCCTCTAGTTCCTATGTCTAGCGCAGGTCGCGATGGAAGAAGTACGTCGAACTTGGCCAATTTAGACTCAAGAACTTACTGGAGCATTTCCTCTGATAGCTTCGTTTTCATCCCATGATCACCGCACGTCTTCATACCATCATGTACCATCTTCGCGAGCATTCTCCCTACAATCCAAGAGGTCGATTACTTCTGCTGTCACAGGACTCCTGCGGCGTGCGACCAGCAGGCGTATAGTCTCAACGTCAAACGATACCCACGGAAGTGACGCTGCAAGTGTCTATTCAGTCAGCTCTGCTGGGGGCCGGAGCAATACAATACCCAGGACGTTGTCCTATCAAACAAGTGATTCCTCTCTACGAACAGAATTTTCTCGCATGCTGCCTTATAGACCATTCGGGGTATCCGCATCCGAAGCTGCTCCTGCTGCAACTACGTCGAGTGCGCGCTCGATAAACCGAGGCAGGACGCGGTCTAATTCGTCGACACCTCCCTCCGCGTTTCCAGGGTCGCCGTCAATGATTGATTCTCCGATTTCTCGTGGTAGCCTGATTGAGGCGCTGCCAAACGACGATGATCTAGAGACGGCTAAGGAATTGCGAACCCAGATTGATCTTGTGGAAGCAGAAGGTCGACGACTTCTAGATGCTTTCAACGGGCTCGAATTGAGCACGTTGACTCGGAGGCATAGACATGCACACATTAGGCCGCGGATACCACACGTTCTCAATGCATTGGACAGTTTGTCGGCGACCGGAACCGATAAACAATCGGTGCTTACAGGAAGAGACGTTGATATAGTATCATTCAAGTCGAGTGGGTCTGTCAGAAGTGCGCCGTCCGTCAAAAGGACGCCCTCTGGGCTCAAAAAGAACATTGCGTCGGCTTCATCCACTACATTGGTCTCTCCACATAAATCGGTCAGTCGCAAAAATTCAATGTCTTCAATGTCCTCCCGAGGACGTGTCGGCGCGAGTGGTCTTTCTAGTCTGGCAGGGCATTATGCTATCGGCAGCAGCTCTAGCATCAATCTACCGAGGAGCTCAAGCCACCTACCCCTTGCCCCTGTTGCGGAAGCGGAAAGCCCCCCTCATGAACAGCATACCTCGGGAGTGAAGGGTCCTGTCACCGCGCGTAAGCAAGCTAGCGATGCCCACTCCAGTTCGCAAGGCATGCGACATGGGGTGTCGGCTGGAGTTGCCATTGCTGAGGATGAAGAGATCCGCGCGATGGAGGCGGAGTTGGCTGATATTAGGAGACGTCGAATGGAGGTAATCGCGCGGTATGAGGCGCGTCTGGAGTACCTTCGCGCCAGGCTGAAGGGAGCAGAACTGCATGAGAAGATCCTGCGGACTTGAGTGTCGGCACCCTTGATATGACCGTGACTACTGACGTCAACGCCCGCTCGTTATAATGATAGTATGTTTAGAATTTGTCTTGCACGTCTCGCTATCAGGTATCTAGCCACATATTCTACTAACGGTAACACTCTGGCTGTGTAATTGGTTTGCACCCTTACGACTTTCCTAATTTGTGACTGGCGGTTCGTTCTGCTGGCGTCTTGGTCTTGTGACCGCGGTCGTTCCTCGGCTATCGGGCGTCACTGCTTCAACTGCTTGACCATTGTGTGCGCGAAGCTCCCCAACGCTGCACACGATGTCCAGTGTGCCAGGAGCACCGGATCCTGAGTCAGACTCCAACATCTCTCTTGGCACTCCCACTGCGACGCCCACGACATCGGCCTTCACATCCCGTCTTCCTCTTCAGCGTAGCGTCAGTCGCAGTTCACAGTGGTCCGTCCCGGAGACTCCTAGACATCACCATCAGGGCACGTCCTACTTTCCGGAGACCACGCGGGGAGCATCGCCCACTCAGAGTCGTACTTCCAAGATGCGAAATGCCTCGGCAAATTCGAAACAGCGCCGTCCTGGTAGGAGCACCAGCATCGCGAGTTCTCACACTGCACCTAGAGGCCTCGTTGAGGATACTGGAATGCTCAGTGAAGAGAATGAGATTAGCGATGATAGCGACGACGCTGTACCGGAGGAGAGTGCTAGGATTAATGCCGAGGATAGCAGTCCAGACGACAACCACGATGGAGGTTCTATTCGAGAGGATGACCCCATTACCCTCAAGGATCGTCAGTCTCTCATCAATGTCGAACACCCTTTCGGTCTGCCCATCTGGAAGCCAGCTCTGTACAAGAAATCTAGATCCGTAACTCGTTATGCCGATCAGGCGCTGCACTCTGTTCCGTCTGCTCAAGCAGAACGACATCTACTTCCGGGAAACATCTTGTGGACGCTTGTCTTCGGATGGTGGCTGGCAATATCGTGCTTCTTCGTTGCAGGTTTTCTGTTCATCATCCCGAAGGGTGGGAGACGGTACGCGACCCTCGTGTTCGGCCTTGGGTGGTATATTGCATGGCCGTTTGGCAAATATGTCGAGGGTGACCTGGGTCCACAAAGCACAGAGGATGCTGAGTATGCACCAGATGCTATAATCGAGCACCCGGATGAAGATGCAGGCGAGAACTGCCACGGACAATCTACGTCGATGACTAGCGAGAGCGACGCAGATTCGACGTCGCGAGCGGATGTATCTGAATCCAGTCACGATACCATCACCCCCCACGAACGCGCGTCGATGTTGGGGCATTCTCCAGCGACCTCCCGTCCCGCGCAACATCCTCAAATTAGCTCCTGGAATGAGGTGCCCGTCCCTGCGCCAAGCGCTACGACAGCTCTCCTCGGAAGTGCTACAACTCCCCGACTTAGGCCTTCTAAATCCTACGGTGCTACCCAATCCCTTCCCATCACTCCTCCGCAGTCATATTCCATTGGCGTCTCCGAGGGAAAGTACAGCGACTGGTTAGGAATAGCGGCCTTTCGAGTCATGTTCGTTTGCACCATTGCACCCCTCATGCTCGTCGTATCCATCGCGTGTTGGGGTCTCGTGTTCACCATCCCCATGGCAAGACTAAATTGGGCTTTAATCATATATTTGATCCAGCAACCGAATAACATTCGCTTCTGCGCTGCTCCGGTCGTTGCCTTTTCAGAGGTCAATGGGCAGTCAGATCGTCAAGAACATGGCGACGTCGCTCAGGATATTACCGTTTCGTTCAAACCCGCTCGATTGTCGGCAGGCCAGACGGCGCCCTTCGGTTCACCTACCTCGACCGTCTTATTATGCACATATAGAGCGTTTGGCTGGAAGTACTACAAGTATACCGTTGGAGGCGTGAACATCTTATTCGTCAACCTGATGCCCATTGTGTTCTTTGTCATCTTGGATGGCTTCGTTCTTCTGCCCCTAGTCGATCGCAAGGAGAATGCTGGCGACCATGTCCCAGCGGTCCTCGCATTTCTAGCGTCGCGGGCCCTGATATTCATTATGAGCTTAGCCAGCGTCATCCCATTGTCATACTTCATTGGTATGGCCGTTGCATCCATATCGGCTCAATCATCCATCGGTATGGGAGCAGTCATAAATGCCACTTTTGGATCTGTCATTGAGGTGATCCTGTATGCAATTGCACTAACGCAAGGCAAAGGCCATCTAGTTGAAGGTTCCATTGTGGGCAGTCTTCTGGCGGGTGTGTTGTTGATGCCTGGCGTGAGTATGTGCAGCGGAGCATTGAAGAAAAAGGAGCAGAAATTCAATGCGAAGAGTGCTGGCGTAACTAGTATGCTATTGATTATGGCGTTCGTTGGCACTCTGGCACCAACGCTCTTCTATCAAATATATGGTGGAGTAAGCATGCGTGGTACTTTAGGGCAGATACGCGATCTAACTGAACCAATGGCAGTTTCAGCTCGTTTGCGATGGCTGCCCAGCGACTGGCGAAAATGCGCCTTGGACATGTCAGCACTGCTACTATCAGCATCCAGATCCCGTGGACGATCCCTTCTATCAATCAACAGTGAAGACGTTTATGTATTTTTGCGCTGTTGTATTGCTTTTGGTGAGTTATAATTAATGTACAGTGGAGTATATACTGACCTAAATACAAGTCTTATCTCATTGGTCTGTGGTTCTCCCTTCGGACACATGCGAGTCAAATTTGGCAAAATCCTCAACAGCTTCTTCATCCCATGGAGCTTCCAATTCATGGGATTCAGAATCGTATGTCCGCATACCACCGCCTCATCGCAGGTACACAGGCGCAAGCACCACAACGTGTGGTAGATGTATTACAGCACAAGCCAAGTATTATTACAACCTCCGCCGACAGTCCAACACACTCTCGAAGCCAAACGCCGACTCAATCAAACTCGTTAGCTGCATCCCAGCCACCGCCAATGATGCAGGCGCCCGTTTCGCAGTCAGGACGACGGATATCATACGCGCAACCTCCTACTGTGCAGACGCAGGGGCTTGCTCCGCTCATGGAGAGTGTCGACCACGCCATGAAAGATACCGGACTCAATCCAACCTCGTTGCCAGGAAATATGACAACGGATGATTTCACCAGGGCCGTGGCAGTTGCCACAGTGAGCGCATTGAGACACCAGCAGAATCAATCTCGTTCACCAGCGAGAGTTCGAATATCCGGCGGGGAAGTGGAAGTAGGTCACGGCGGTGGTCATGACGCCCCTTCGTGGAGTCGAACAACAAGTGCGAGCGTATTGCTTGCATGCACGGCTCTCTACGCCATAATTGCAGGTTTGTAATTTCCTTATACGTATAAATAACTGTTAACCTGTTGGTTCCCTAGACTTGCTTATAGATGTTGTTGACGTAGTTCTTGAAGGATCTGGAATCGATGAGAAGTTCCTGGGTGTTACTCTGTTCGCATTGGTACCCAATACCACTGAATTCATGAACGCGATTTCATTCGCTTTGAATGGAAACATTGCCCTGAGGTGCGTAGGTTTCAGATATTCCCCTCTCTCATTAGTCTAACTATACATTAGTATGGAGATTGGATCAGCATATGCATTACAAGTTTGTTTACTTCAAATACCGGCCATGGTGGGATTCTCTGCTTGGTATGCCCCAGAAGAAATGGGATCTGTTGCAGACACCTTCACGTAGGTTAGCTCGTGACTGTTAAGCTATCTGCTCATGTCCACATTCCAGATTGATCTTTCCTCGATGGGATGTCGTCGTTATTATTCTGTCTGTCTTCCTGTTAACATACACCTATATCGAAGCGAAGAGCAACTATCATCGCGGCAGTATCCTCATCTTAAGGTATGTGACATCTAGTAGTATTTCCACAGCGTCCACTGAATCAATACGCGCACAGCTACCTTGTTCTAGTGTCTGGCTTTTTCTTCGCCCCGAGGCAACCGGATAACGTAGCAGACGCATTGAGATTGACCACTTCATTCGTTGCATCGCTCTTCCGTACGCACTAGCTGTACAAAATACCCAAAAGCTTCTCATTGTTTATAACATCTTGCTCTCGTCCCCATTGTCGCGGATCCTCTCCTTATCGTTACCGACCTCCCTGTATCTCCCAAGTTTCATGGACAACGGATATGGCAATTGAAGGCATACTCAGTGTAAGCTTTGTAGCTGTTCCAGGACATCTTGAATTTGTGAATGTGACATTGTGACCTGTTCCGCATCCATGTCGCCTTGAAGCAGATCGGTATAGTCTGCATACCCAAGATATTGCTCGAGGAAGTCACCATCCAAGAAGCCGAAAGCAGCTTCCGCATCACTATGGCCCTTGGAATTGGCAGGTGCTCGGAATCTATACTCGCATAGACGCAAAGAGTGAGGTGTGGCTGCATGTAATGCATTGAAAAACTCACGTCGCGTGATGCACACCACCGGGTCCAATAATTCTTTTGCCCATATTCCGTTGCAAACCGGTCATATGTAAGGAAATCTTGTCATTCATCTCCAAAATGACACCTATGCGACCTGTTGATGTGAAGAACAGGTGCTTTGGTTCAATTGATTTTCGCTCCGAGATGTCAATGTTTGTAAGACTGCCTGCAAGAACCATCAGGGTTAACAGACGGCGGCATTACTGCGAACACAAACCGCGAAGGAACTTGTTGACCATGTCTCCAAGGTAGTAGCTGCCATTCCTCTCTAATGTGCTACGGTGTCCAGAGCGTTGTAGGGCAAACGTGAATAGATTGCAATCGCTCTGGAGTGATACTTGATTAGCACGTTCCTCTGAAATAATTGCCACATACATTAGCCCCTATCACACCATCGCCATCCATAGCCTCCACGGAGACAGGCCACAGTGGGCTGTAATCTCTCGCAATACTCTCCAATGTAGTGTCATCGACTTTCACAAAGGATATGGAACTTATAGCATCCCCAACTATCAGCATACAACCGTGTACTACGAGACCAGTAACGCTGTAATTGTGATTCCATTCTGATACTTTGGTTAAGACCACAGTTGAGTTATTGAGCTTCTCTGGCTTGAACAATATGACCTTGTGTATTGTCATATTAGGATCAAATGCGATAAAAACATATGCGGTTCTTACAGAAGTGTTCACTGCTGCAGCTATCATCCCCTGGATGCTGACCAGCTGATAAACGCAGCCGCTTACTGGTGTTGATGACACTAGTTGAAATGATGATTCGGGACCCGTGTTCAGCGAGAACAAGAGGATTCGCCCGCTCGATGGCTCTGTCTCTCCAGGCTTGAACTGAACTGTGCCCACACAGAAACGCGCAGAAGACACATCTGAACTGGACAGGGTCAATACAGAGGTAACCTCTTCGTCCGATTCGCAGGCAAATGACGCAATGCCTAAACAATGATCAGACTAAACTCCAGTGTTCCAAATGCACCGCTTTGCTCACGATTGAAGGTTGTATCATCAAGGAGCTTAAGGGAGCTCGTCGTCTCTTGTGGCTCGCCAATACGATTAGGCTTAGTTTGAATACAAGCAACTGCGAAGACCCTCAACGTGGGATGGTGAGCAATTCGACGAGGGTTGTCCAATCCCATTCGGACCTACGAAATATCGCTGAGACATGTCGATAGCAAGCACGAGATACTTACTCACGGAATTGATCTGCATTTTGTCCACACCACGGACATTGCCTATCATCAATGTTGACCGTGTCGCAAGGATCAGACAAGATGGGAAAGCAGATGAGCTGATACTTGCTCCTCTGACAGCATCCTGGAACGAGTCCAAGGAGTCATATCAAAGCTGAAAGCTTGAGCATGGTCAGGAAAAGCACTTACCTTGATCATAACGGGTGATTGATGCAGTCGTTGCCGATCCCAATACAGCACAGAAGCTCTGCTTCCACTTGCAAAAATAGCGGGCTTACCATCAACTGTAGACTTGGCTAGGGCTACAGGCACATCGCCCAAGGCAAAGGTCTTTTTGTCCTTCAGATCTTTTTCTCTGAAGCTGAAGGAAACCAATGTGCCATCCACCAAACCGGCCAAGACGTGAGGGTGGTAATCGGCTCCCTTGGGATTGTGGTCTTGTCCAAAGTTGTGCAATAATAAGGAACGCGGTAGAGACGGCAGAGGGTCGCTCTCGCAGATCGTGGTAAGATAGGATGTCGCGGATTCTAATGACAAAATTGCGATTCGGTTCGTACCCCAGAATGAAACTCCAATGCAGGTGGCATATTTTTTGGTAGTATCGAATGGTGAACACGACACGGCCGATATCTCCAGCATCCCATACGTGCGATCCCCGAAGTCTCTGTACCTAAAATATATATGGGCAACAATACATGAACAGAAAATAGCCGACTGCTTACTTCAATTCCTGTATTTGTTCATTTTCACCCAAGTTGAGGAGTATTAATCTCCCGCCGCTGAGACCAAGTACAAATTGACTAGAATTGATGGCAGCTGCAACTATAGTCCGTCCTTCTTTGGTAGCATCCCAGCCATCTCCGACAGGAACGAACAGCCCCAGGGCTGCATCGTGCTCGATCACACGAACCTTCTCTTGTGAAACTTGCAACACAAGGGAAGAATCAACGTATGACGAGACAACTCGCCCTCCATTTTGTGTTGTTGCACGGCGAGGGATATTCCCCACAGCTAGAGTAGGCGATCTCGTGATGAACCCGTGGTCCGAAGGATCCATGTGCGTAACTGCGTTTCTACCATCAAGACTGAATACGAGAGTTTCGTGCAGGGTGGTTGCTATTAAATGGGAGTCTATGCTGAAGGCGTGTCAATTGAAGCAATAGTCGTCGCGGTAATACTCACATGTCCTCATAGTGAGAACGAATAGGCCAGATATCAGTCACGTTCTCAATACCACGGATCACAGCCTGCTCTTGAAAGTCTGCCCCAGTGCGAATAATTTTTAATGCACCGCTATTACGTCCACCGGAACATGCAATGATTTGAGGCTACGAAATGTTTGAGATGAGAGCTCGGCAATAAGAGCAGAGTCAAACATAATTTACCTGACCGCTGCCGTCTAGGTCGACCATTACTGCGTCCATTATTGGAGCAATGTTCTCGTAGCTGTCTAGGACTTCCACAAATTTTCCCTTTCCTAGAACAACCTGCCCACCTCTCTCTTTCTTGCTGGGCTCTAAACTATCATCAAGTCGTTCCTTGCCCTTACCTCCTGGCAAGGAAACAGCAGAAATAGATTTGACGTGGTCCGGAATCGGAAGCGTCTCTGCATCACGTTCCGTGAAAGGAGATTGGTGGATGCGCAGTAGTTGGGATTCGCCAAAATGTGAGCCAAGGTACAGCACTTGGGACGATAAATAGGTCAATGACACTGCTGAAGATGTCTACACACCGACAATATGAGTACAAATCATCCATACCCGAAGTACTTCCTGCCCACCTCGCCTAGTGGTATGAGAAGTAAACCATTTGCGTCGTCGAAGGCGAGCATAGCGAGTCGACCAAAGGTGTCGCCAATAATGAATCTTCGGCCTTGATCATCGGCGGGACACCATCTGATATGGCAATATTTCAGTACCCATCCGAACGCGGTATTAATACACACGCACGCAGTGATTTCGCTCCAAGGCCAGTCCACGCTCATCTTTGGCTTGATCTTCTTTGTCTCCCGTTCCTTCTCCTTGACCTTAGCTTTCGCAGCTTCGGCTGGATCCCCACTCGACATCCGTTTAGATGCTCTTCGCTGCTTTCCTTTCCTGACCTCTTGTCGTTCCTGTGATGCATGTTCGAAGAACAATAACTTGTTCCCACACCCAGCGACGACAACACCTCCAAGATGACTCGAGTACAGATTCTCCCCATTTTCCTCATGAGAGACATAAGGCAATACAGGTATGAGGAACGGCGTGGAATCCGATGGAACATTTGAAGAAAGGATAGTGCTGAAGAGGAGAGTAGACGGGGAAGCGGATAGCTCGCGAAGGTCCAGATCACGAGACAAGAGCTGTAAACGTCCTTGGTGGTCGTAATGGAGTATCGACAGCGTATACAGGTCTTTGGTAGTGTAAAGGAGTGTCATGGCTAGTATATATAGCTCCGGTATGCTTAAATGTAGTGGTCAAGATCCAAAATGATCCGAGACAGACGAGACATACTTACGAGATGTCGAGGGGGATCCCGGTCCTTTCTCTATTCTTGAATTCTATAACCTTTAACCGGCCTGTGTAACAGCTGACTACTGCGACTTCTCCAGTCGGGTCCACGTACACATCAGTCACAAATTCTGCAGGACGAGCATAACGATCATGTAAATCAATTGTCTCCTTGCTTAAGAGGCTCGCATTTCCAGTATCATCCAGCACCAACGTGAGTGGTATTAACTTCGGATCCGGGTGGTCTGTTAACACCAATAGATTCGATTGTTTTGAGTCCTGACAGACGTTGTGAGCACATGGACAGCAGTTACATTAGCACTGTACCTTGGAAGGTATGGCCTTAAGGGATACTATTCGACCCCATATCTCCAGAGAACACTCAAAGTGCAATCCACTGGATCGAAGGGAGAACACCTCCAACCTATTAACTTTGGCAACTATCAGGTGTTCTTGATCTTGCGTTAGATTGCATTTAAGAGATTGTACGACTGAAGACGGGTGGTGGAATGTGGCGACTACTCTCATGAGGATAGACTTGACGAGCTCGACGCGGGTCTGAAGAGTGACCGTAAGCGTAGTGGGCTGAGTGAGATCGAATCGAATACGCTACTCACGTGATCGACGGACCGGAACGCGCCTCAGACCCACTTAGGGGAGAGGGCGCAGCTGCGCCGATTCCAAATGACCGCAATGAGGCAGGCAAATTCATGGACAACATTCCATTATTCAACCTTTCTGGACCATAATCAAGTTGAGTGGTTCGAATGGTCGGATCTATTACTTGTGGCGTCATCCCTGGCGCACCTGTCAGGTGATGCTATACTGCGCTCGATATGAGCTTGTAAGTGGTACACATTTCTAGTCCATTTCCCCCGTTGCATATAGACGTTCGCACTCGCTTTCGGCCTTCTGACATATTTTTGGCTCTATTTGTATGGTTTTCGCGCTCACTTGGAATGTGATGGTCCCTCTCTGTCGTTGAAGTCTGGATTTGAATGGTTCTCGGCTGTACGGACTGTTTCACGCGAGGCAATCCCGTGCAATCTTACAAGTGTCCGAAGATTTTGGAAAGAGATACGGCTCTGAAGCCAGTCGAAAGGAGCTGCGATTACGACACACTGATGACTGTTTTTAAACTTATATACACCATCTTCCATTAGCAACGGACTCACGTACAATGCTGTCTGTCGACTTTGCAGCAAGTCAGCGCTCTCGAACAGGGACATCTGGGAAACCTCCGATACGCTTACAACTTTCTTCCCACGCGACGGCGCACCTCCCCATCCGTGGGGGGTCATACAATTATATGTCGCGATCGCGCGGATATAATACACAAGGCGTACAAAGGTTGCAGTAACACACACCGACGCTTATGCGGATACACTGAAACGGAAGGCTATGGTAACAGTATTAGACTCCAAAGCTCACCGCTGATCATGAGACCTGAGGATCACATGAGACTCGGTTGTACCTCCTATATTACGTAAACGCCTCTTTGCTCGCACTCCCAGAAACCAAATTTACCCTTCGGATCATTTGGAACTGGGGGAGGGGCCAGGACCCACAGAAGTTTTGGCAATGGGCAAACAACGTAGACCTTAAACTACGAATTTACGTCTCGGAAAGAAAGACATGCAAACGTTATTCATAACCAAGTTGAGTCTCATCATTCAAAGCCGATAGACATTGTCCCATCCTCACTCATGACAATATCGTCAAGTACAAATTCATCCTTTCCCGATGCTCCACCTCGGGGAATAAATCGGTCGAGTGGACCCTCAATCAAACCCGCTTCTTGCTTCTCATCCCCCTCTTGCAGAGCCTTTGGCTTCCGCCGAGCTAGAGGCTCGGGTTCGCGCCATTGAATGACATCTACTTGATCTTAGTACCATCCTAACAGCTCACTGATGCGGGATTTACCATCAAGAAAAGCGAACTCGTTTGCTCTCCGTACAAGCATCGCTATCACGGTAGATCAACATTGATTTGATGCTCAATCGAACAGCATTGACATACCAACGTCTCGCTGTTGCGTCGTCATTCTTTTCTCTTTTGTTGCTATTCGTTCGGTGGCTGCCGCAATACGTTTGATGAACTCTTCCGTGGCTATTGATATCAGGAACGTAGCTTCTCTCTGAACGAGAGGTAAATCCTAAAGATGCAGTTGAAACGCAGGTTAAGACGTCATATGAAAGTCTGATTGTCGTATTAGGAGAACATACTCTATCTGCTTTTAAAATTTTTTGTACTCTAGAATAGGGGAAATGGGATCTTCCAGGCTCCCTAGTCATGTAAGGCGGTCCCCGCTCCGCCTTCGACCTGGTCTTCTTTGGCTTTACATTGGTCACGACTACTGGTTCTTCGGATTGAGATGCGTGTGTACCTTCCTGCCCTGATTGTATGTGATATTCTGACTGCTCCATAGTAAAGTTTAGGGAAATTGATGACGATAGCCAGCACTGGTGTGTACGGAAGTACACGACACAAGTGTTTCTAATAGAAAGTTGCGGCATGATCGTGAACTTACTTGAGGTCGGAAGCGTGACTTGTGACCTGACGCGTTCGTGACACCAGCGGGATGCTCGCGCCGCCGGACTTGTGGCAATCGATCTACTTTGTAAACTTCAACTAATGCTACCTACACGCAAGTGCATTTTGTAAAATTGAAAACCGATTACATCGAACATCAACGACATGAAATTACTGCTGTACGGAAAGGAGCACCCCAAAAGAGGGTTTCCATGGTTAGAGTCTAGCTTGAATCTTCTTGACGAGCAAACAAGCTTCGCTGCTGTCTAGTCCCTCTCTGGACTCAAACTCTTTCTGATGCATTTCCTTCTCAGTGAGCGTAACTCGGTCCACTTTCTCTGAGCCTCGTACAGTCGTTCGTGGTGACAGACATGTCGGTGCTGGTATGATATGATAATGCACCTAATGACCGGCGGGTGAAGTTTCATAGATTTCTTCGACTCGAGAAAAGTGACGTACGTGTGGAACTGCTTGCGCATACTCTTGATTACAGACCACGTTTAGCCCAGTGTTTTGCATAGCTGTATCGTCATCAGTATATGTGTATATCTCGGATCGGGCAAGTGGCTACCCTCAGTTAATGCACGGGCAACCTTGGTCACTGCCCTTCCCGCTGCCGCTGCGAAGTCTGCGGGAAGTTCTGATACACGTGAGCAATGGATCTTCGGGATTACCAACGTATGTCCCGGTCGTAAGGGCAGAATGTCTTACAGACGGCGAACCCAGCCCCATCTTAAGTTCGTTCGCTGACGCCTACTAAATAGAGGTAGAGAGCACACCTAAAATTGCAATGACCGATTCATCTTCATAGACGCGGAAGGCCGGGCTCTCGCCTTTGATAATGCGGCAGAACGGGCAGCCAGGATGTGTGTTCCAGGACGCTGGGAGTGGGAGGTCTTCGTGCGCTTTGATGATGAACGAAGTCATGCTATACTGGCAGTAACACTGGACAGAATGAGTGCAGCCAAACAAACAACCATGCGAGTTTATCGACTCGAGTGGCGCCTAATTGAAGGCGGCTAAAAATATTGGATAGGCTATTACATAGTTTGCTTCAAGCCTGTTGACATCAGCTATAGACTGATTTTTACTGCTACTGGTTCATCGCCACTCCTTGCAACATGTCCCGAGGTAGTCGAGAGTCTACGTCAGGAATTCTGAAAAGCTCTATGAGGAATAATTACTCTGAGCATGGAGTGGAAGAGGTCAGAAATCCACGCCTATCTTCAAGACTTGAAGTGTAGAACTGACATGTATGTAGTACTATAAGAAGGTTGGAGGAACATATCGTAACCCACATTTACCTGGCATTCAGGCCTGCCTATTCTTGTGGCTGAATCGGTGAGGCTTCCGAGCTGACCGAGTGCAAAGCTAACGTCACTGATCGATTGTCCCATGATTGCTATACCCTAGATGGTGGCAATTTGAACAGTCAACCATGTCATCGCGAAATCTCATCGTGTTCGACATGGCATGCGGTCAGTGGTTGTGTGTTCTTTCAGATAAAATTTGCTAGCTCAACCACTTTGGTAGGAAGGCAGGTCATCACTGGGCCAGTCTGTGTGGAATGGACTTTTGACACTCCATCAACAGCGGTGAAGTCACTCAATCAGTTCTGGAATGGTGGTGTACAGGCCGAGCGGTCGAAGAACGTAACCACCCACCGGGCGCTTCTTTACAAAAAGTGGTTAAAAAGCAATACCAACCGCCTTTTCTTTCCACAGACTTTCCGAAGCCAACCATTCTGGCCGCGGATCCGGTACGTGTTTCGGCTGGGTTCTTCCTCGTCCGCCAACGCCAATGAGTTTCTTGGCAGTACACAGCAGAAGCGTATCACGCGCGCACATCCCTCAGCTGTTCTCCACTTTCTTTCCGAGAGATTGCTGAGGGATCTCTTCCCGGAAAAGCTACACAGACACTTGAGTCTACACGCTCACTGGGACCCGATGGTCGTATGTTAGACAATTCTGCGCTGACAAGTTGGACTGCGCCTGTCATTGACATGGTGATATGTTCATTCGCCCTGCATCTAATACAGACCCCATCCGAGCTGTTTGCTCTATTGTGGGAATTGAGGCAAGCTCATAGACTCGACCATAGCCTCGACGATGTTGATGCTAACTATCACATACAGCACAAAGTGCCGATGGCTGATAATCCTCGCTCCTCATAAGAAACCCGACGTACGCTAACAGAGTCTTCGTTTCTATCCATGAGATGAGTGTCATGATCATTACATCACTAGATCAAGGAGGGCTGGGGTTGGCGTAAATGGGATGTCGATACTTGGTCGAATTGCCAAATGTCCGCAGCAAGAGGTGAATTCCTACAAGAACGGTCAGCGCATTCTATTTTCTTACTCCTTCCTCCCTCACGCTACTGCAGGGTTCATTGTCGTGTGTACTCCAGCCTCAATCTAGAACGAATTTAGTGCATCCATGGGTGCTCTGCCCCATCTACATGCCTTTCACTAGTCCCCAGGAACTACGATAGTCTAGGACCGCTCCAGTATGTCCACCAAATAAAGCGTTATGGCATCGGAATGAAAGCCCAAATGACTACGCTTTATGTTATCCATACCAACTTCTGGCTAACCAGCCAACGAACCCTGCGGCAGTAGCACTGGCAGCGAGTGCCAATGCGATCTCTTGATTTGAATTCAGTACCGGAGCAGCACGTACTGAACCTGGTATAAACTCTTCAACACTGTCAGATTGAGAGATTATCGACTGATCGGTTTCCGGGATATGTGTGCTGTAGTGGATTGTCTCCATAAGTTGTGATAGTACCAGATCCTGGTCCCCGAGCCGCTTAGCAAGCTCCTCCGTTTTGCTCTCTAATACTGCCGAGTTGTTCGCAGACATCTCCTCAACTTTCCTTTCAAATGTTTGCGCGAGCCTCCGTCGTTTCCACGGCTCCACGATCACGATGGCCAGAATGAATACGGCCAAGTTCGCGCCCATCACAGCGAGCGAGCCATACGTTGACGCGCTACGAATCTTGTCCGACCACGCCTGCTCTTCATGATAACGATTGAGGATGACACGCATAAGTTCGCTGAACTCTCGCTCGACGGCATCTTCAGATTGAGTAGCGGATTGCTTCGCTCGTGCCTCCTTTTGCTCGTAAAGATGGTCCTTACGGACAAGCGAAGTGAAGCGGGTAACGTCCTCGTCTGACCAGCTCGACTTGCGCTGCAGCAAGTCGTTAACCTCGCGCTGAGAAGATGCTCTCTGACGAACGGCTGTGTCGTACGCCTCTTTGGCCTCTCTTGACGCCTGTCTGGCTGCCTCTATTCTCGCCTCTGATAATACGGTCCACGTCAGATATAAAGAACTCGCAGAGGTTTGCTTACCCTGCTCGGCTACTTTTCTCTTTAGTACTTCAATCTCGCCGTACCCCGTAACTTTGTTTATCTCAGCTCCGAGTTGCGAGAACGTGACAGCAAGACTCGCTGTGTAGATGTCAATCCGTTGGCGCAAAGAAGTACCCGTCCCTTCGAGTATTTCACGGAAGCGATCCTTCATGTTCTCCAAACTGATAGCGTCCACCTTATTGGCCTGTTTACTTTCCGGTCGAGGTGCAGAGTCCGGTTGAAAGCCTGGAAGTGGGCTTGACGAGGAAGCATGCGGCTCAGACGAGGCATATCTTCGTGCACCACTGTAAAAAACAAAAGATTGAAGAGATACGGCTTGAGAGGCAGAATAAGACAAACGAGAGGAGGAATAAGACTTTGAGAATACAGTCCTGAACATATCCGCGCGAGCGGTGCCTGCGGTCGACGAAGGCGAATCGGAAGATCGACTCCGTCGCGCGCCGAGTGTGCAAGTACCTCACGTGATCAGATCAGATCTTCCGGCCTGAGTTGAGCGACCCGACGTCACCAAGAATGTAAGAATGTGACACCGCGCACTGGCCAACGGCAGCAGCACTATCTCAATCCGGACAATGTACTTAGACAACGGAAAGGGATATCGGAGAAACGCTCTTATCGCGGCCTCATTTGGTTGCCTACTAGTAGGCTACTACTACGTATATACTGCTATTAATATCGTCTTTTCTCAATCTTCTGCTTCGTACTCAATGTTCAAATTCCAGAGGTCTGATCGTCTGACCACCTATTTGTATATCACGAAGGGCTTTACTAGAGAATCCCCTCAGCCGCTTGTGAGGAATTCGGTCCGCTCTTATTACTCCGGGTACCCCCAGGTCGAGCTTGAGATGTTGATCAGTAAGTTCTCCTCGGGGTCAATCTTCTGGAAGTGATCTTCTGCAATTCTGAAGAAGCAAGCTTGTCCAAGCCGCTGAGTTCTCAACGTCTGTGTTTGTACGGGGTACCCGGACGCCCATGGACTAGTACTGCCAACGAGTGATGCTGGAACAGAAGCACCGTTCGCGCGTTCATTCGTTTATATGCGCAGTAATCAGTATGCCGCTGTTCAGCGAATACTTGTCCGGTGCGACGTAAGGAACGATGCTCTTTGGTCCGCGGCAAGCGGCCAAGTCCTCTCCCAATTACCAAATGGTTGCCCGGCACATACTGATCACCGTCGTAGGCGACCCGGCCCTCAGCTAGCTCCTCGTTTTCTAGCTGCGTTGATTCGGTGTCACAGTACATCACATACACACGTTTGCTGCTGTGGGAGTGGTGTTCCGCAGGCTAATGCCCCACCAGCCATGGACTCCAACAGAGCATTGTTGATCACAACCAGTCAAATATGATGGAGCCCGTGACAGGATGGTAGCAATGCCCGTCATTAAGATCCCACCATAGTTTGAACAGGGGCCCGAAGGGAGCGGGAAGGCATACATGGAAAAAATGTTTGAGTTACAGCCGCTCGCGTCCGACTCAGGCTCAAGCTTGCAACACTCTTCCCGACCCCTAAGTTCAACGTTCAATCCTTATTCCATTGTATCTGTGACACTTGGCCTGGCCCCCGTCTAGTATTCAATAAATTGTATGTCGGATATGTCTTGACAGGGCCTAGATGCAATTGAAGCCTCGGGGTATGATCATTGCTCGGACAGCTGCCGCCCGGTTTGCCCAGGGACTCTGCTCAAACCTTGAGCATACGGTAGACGACGTGCTAATCCTGATAGTGCTCTGCAGTCATCCATGTATTCTTGAGGCCGCGCCGCAATGCGCAGCTACCGAGCTACATACGTGTCGACACGTCCAGTTTGTAAAGGCTGTACTGATTGGCATAGAATCTATTCGTGTGCCAGTCTTGGATGGATATTCGAGTAACTCACACCGAGCTGCATCCATTATTTACGCTGCAAACGTATGTTCTGTTGAGCCCAGCGGTGCCTGTGGGGAGCATGGTCGTTGTGTTATCGGCGTAGTGGAAGCCTTTGGAGAGCACCGCAATGACAAGGACAATCGTACGAGATAGGGATGTTCTCGGCCCGTATGCACTGGCGCGCGTTGGTTGTCGCTTCTAGTACTCACCTCAAAGATTTTGGCGTACTACGTGTCAAGAAAATCATGCTTTCAACGACGCCGTCGGAGAGGGGTTCCGCTCTTTCATTCGAGCGAGTATCCAGTATCGGGCTGTCTGCACGGCATCTGTCTGGGATTCGTTTCAGAAGTGAAGGTTCTTACGAGGAAGGCATGACCGAACTTGACACGGGTGCAGGCGCTCACGAACGATACATAAAATTGAAGCCAGTCGAGCCTCAGCTATCGCTCACTTCTTCCCGTCGTATCATCTTTAGTGTCGTCTCTCCCTCACACAGCCCTCATCATCGTTGTCATCTCCCCTCATTGTGTGCTAGTCACTTCTCCAATGGCGTCGTCGTCGGACATCGTGATCCTTACGGTTGGTCTGGTCCTCGCGGCAGTGTATCTCTTCCGCGACCAGCTCTTCGCCGCCTCCAAACCAAAGTCAGTGCCCGTTGCCGCTCCGAAGGCGAGTGCCGGGTCTGGGAATCCTCGGGACTTTGTTGCGAAGATGAAAGAAGGCGTAAGCATCCCCAGCTCGTACTTCCTTAAGTGTTCTGACCTTTTGCTCAGAAAAAACGAATTGTCATCTTCTACGGCTCCCAAACTGGTACTGCGGAGGAGTATGCCATTCGTCTTGCGAAAGAGGCGAAGACTAAATTTGGTCTCGCGTCTCTCGTCTGCGATCCGGAAGAATACGATTTCGAGAACTTGGACCAGGTTCCCGAGGATTGCTGTGTCTTCTTTGTCATGGCCACCTATGGTGAGGGAGAACCAACCGATAACGCTGTCACGCTCTGCCAGAATCTCTCCGACGAGTCTTTCGAGTTGAGCAATGGTGAACACAAGCTTCCCGCCATCAAATATGTCGTATTTGGCCTCGGTAACAAGACGTATGAGCACTACAATCTGATTGCTAAGAATGTCGACCGGGACATGCAGAAGATGGGCGGAATTCGCATTGGTGAGCGTGGAGAAGGTGATGACGATAAGAGTATGGAGGAGGACTACTTGGAGTGGAAGGACGGCATGTGGGAAGCATTCGCCAAGGCCATGAACGTCGAGGAGGGACAGGGCGGGGACACCCCCGACTTCGCTGTCACGGAGGTCGATGAGCATCCTCCGGAGAAGGTCTACCTTGGTGAGCTACATGTTTTCATATTGAACTACGATGTCTGACTCCTCGCAGGGGAATTATCTGCTCGCGCTCTTACTCGCTCGAAAGGCATTCACGATGCGAAGAACCCATACCCTGCACCCATCGCTGTTGCTCGCGAGCTTTTCGAGGAGGGCACAGATCGTAACTGCATTCATATCGAATTCAACACTGAAGGCTCTGGCATCACGTATCAGCACGGTGATCATGTTGGGGTCTGGCCATCCAACGCCGAGTTCGAAGTACAACGGCTGCTCTGTGCTCTCGGCTTGTACGACAAAAAGGATAAGGTTATTAACATTGAGTCGCTGGATCCTGCACTTGCCAAGGTACCCTTCCCAGTCCCTACCACTTACATCACGGTCCTTCGTCACTACATCGACATCAGCGCCGTCGCTGGTCGCCAGATACTTGGTGCCATTTCCAAATTCGCTCCTACTCCTGAAGCAGAGGGCTTTTTACAGATGCTTAACACCAACAAGGAGGAATATGCCAATGTTGTTGCCAACGGATGTCTCAAGCTCGGCGAGGTGTTGCAGCTGGCGGCCGGCAATGACATCTCCACTGCTCCTACCATCGAGAACACCACACCGTGGGCGATTCCTTTCGACATTGTAGTTTCATCTATCCCCCGTCTTCAGCCTCGGTACTATTCTATTTCTTCCAGCCCCAAACTCCACCCGAACTCGATTCATGCCACCGTTGTGGTCCTCGCTTACGAGTCTATCCCTAACGACAAGGTTAAGACTAAGTGGGTGCACGGTGTTGGTTCGAACTTCCTCCTGAACCTCAAGTTCGCTGCTCGTGGCGAGCCTATACCTCTCGCTGCGGATAAGGCGCACCCTGCCCTTGCTCTTACACCGAAGTATGCCATCGAAGGTCCCCGTGGTGCCTACAGGCAGGAGGCTATTTACAAGGCTCCTGTACACGTCAGACGGTCGACCTTCAGGCTTCCCACAAATCCGAAGAGCCCAGTCATCATGGTCGGTCCTGGCACAGTGAGTGATACTTATCATCTCCACTTTGATGGCTCTCAATGTATATTTTAGGGTGTTGCGCCATTCCGTGGCTTTGTGCAAGAGCGTGTCGCTATGGCTCGTCGCACCATTGAGAAGAATGGTGTTGAAGGTCTCGCCGACTGGGGTAATATCCGGCTGTACTTTGGTTGCCGGCGCTCGGACCAGGATTTCTTGTACAAGGACGAGTGGACAGAGTACGCAAAGGAGTTGCATGGCAAGTTCACGATGCGCTGCGCGTTCTCGCGGCAGCCCCCATACCAGCCAGACGGTAGCAAGATCTACGTGCAAGATTTGCTATGGGAAGACCACGAGCAGATTGCGGATGCGATCTTGAATGGCAAGGGTTACGTGTACGTGTGTGGTGATGCAAAGAGTATGAGCAAGGCTGTGGAGGAGACGCTCTGCCGTATCTTGGGCGAGGCGAAGGGCGGCTCTGCCGAAGTTGAGGGTGCGGCTGAGCTGAAGTTACTCAAGGAAAGGAGTAGGATGCTGTTGGATGTCTGGAGTTGAACGAGTGGTTTGGTCTCTGGACTATTTGGATGCTCTATCACTGTCACTAATGCAGCACTGTCTTTTGCCTACGGATTGCGACGTTGTACGCATAAACTTATGTGGATGGGCTACACACATGGTACAAGTACCATACCTACTAGAGATCTACTTTGCTCGAATTAGATTGTACCGACTTGACCTATCTTACTAGAATAACATAATGACAGAACTAATGAGCCACTCTGCAGCGCCTGCTATATATAGAATGATAACTTTCCCACGTTCTTCGCTATGCAATCTGCGGAATACTAGTAAAGGATGAGTAATATGAACAATAGCATATTCCGTGCAAGCATTGTAACTTGCCTCTATATGACTGGATTGCAAAGCACATCTGATCCGACATATAGTGGTCTGCGGCAACGTACTACCCGGAGGTGAGCGAATCGACGAAAACTTCTGCGCCGTAAATCTACTCACCACTCGCGATCGATCCTTGTCCGAGTGTCCATTTCCGACATAGCCGCGTATATGATATTCGAACGCTTTAGTTCCACTGCAAGGATATACTAAGTCGTGCACAGAGGCTGAGAAGGTGTTCCTTTATGTGATGGACGTCATCGATTGTTGGCCTAGTCGCACGTTCGAGTGAGTCATTTCCCAAATATAACATCATATCTTCTAGCCGCTCCATGTCGCGCCTCTCCTTCACCTCTTCGTTAAGCTCCGCGCCCACATTGCTCTCGTCTTCAGCGCTGAGGTGTTCACGGGCATGGCGCTCTGCCTCCAGGTCGGGCGGTGCGATGTCAGTAAGCCGTACTGCTCCTAATCGTGACCCAATCTCGAGCACCTCTTCTATAATGCCCCGGTACATGTCCTCATTGCGAGTCAGGGAAGAGAGTAGAGCAGCGGTTACACCACGAAGTATACCCAGTTCTCGTCCTAGAGGCGTACCAATTTCGGCGAATCCTTCATCGAAACCAGCTTGCAATGCAGACTCTTTACCGGAAGTGATCCCCTCACGATATCCAGCCTAAATCAGTAGAGGTAAGCGTCGCTGTCATCCCGTTCCTTACAGTAATTCGCGTACATACGGTAGTGAAGTTCGATGACAATCTCGACCATTCCGAGTCCTGTACTGCCTTTGGATCAGCATTCCAGATGTCTTCATTGTCCATTCTGAGTATTCGTGTGATTCGAACTGGTGATAGGCTAGTGCAGACACTAGAGAGAGAGAATCACATTTTTTTGTGGAGAGAGGACGAGATCGCGACTGCCATCACAATCTAATCGGATTTCTCGATGCCACGTTTCATTTTGCTACGTGACCGATGCGACACGTCTCCATGGATCGCGGACTGCCCATGGGCCGAGTCTCCGAGTCCGACGCGGCTACTTTTAAGTTAAGTTGTAACTTAGCTCTCCTTTCAGTTGCCTGTGAGCTGTAGTCACAACGGCCATGTCGTTCTTACGGTATGCATTTGGAACTTCAACACTACGCTTTCTTGAAATGTTCACCATGAATCTAGGCTCGGTCTATGCGTGGTTGGAGTCTACTCGATGTTCTTGGTCAGGTTCCGCTCTGCCCTTGCGTGGAACAGTCGTTAATGCCATACTTTTAGTTATGGGCTATCGCTCAGGAAAGACGTACGTAGTCATGTAGTCTCAATGGGCCTGCCCATTAATCCACAGCCGTCAAGTTTCCGTTCCTTTTCAGACCGTCGACGGCAGCTCCAGTGATAAATTCCGTTCGCCACTCTTCATGAATACGTGCCAGAGTGCCCTCAGTGCATTATCTGCCCTAATTTATCTTGCTATTCGAAGGCCATCATCGCATACATTCAAGCAGCTGCTCGGGCTTGCATATATCAACCCACAATCGGCGTTGAATGGCACAGCCAAGGCAAATGATCGTTCACCTTACCTTGGAAGTGGCTTTCCCAACAAGTCACTGCTTCTCAGATATCTCCAATGTTCTGTCTTTATCACAGCGGCCGCTCCATTTGGTTTCGCAGCCCTTTCCTATATTACCTACCCGACCATGGTGCTAGGGAAATCGTGCAAACTCGTCCCAGTCATGATCATGAATGTTCTCTTGTATCGCCGCCGTTTTGCGCCCCACAAGTATCTCGTCGTAGGTATGGTTACATTGGGTATCACCGTTTTTATGGGTTTCGGAGCGGAGAAGCCTTCCAAGACGAAGGCTGGTCCTGAACTGTCAGCGTATGCGCAGCTCATTGGCATCACATATCTTCTCATAAACCTTGCCATAGACGGCGCCACCAATTCTACACAGGACGAGATTTTCGCCCAGTACCGCGTCACGGGCCAACAGATGATGTTCTGGATCAACGTCTTCTGCACGCTCCTCACGTCTGTCATTTCAATACTTCCTCTTCCATACATTCCCGTTCTACACCCATCCGATAATGGCACAGAGCTGCAAGGCGCGCTGGAATTTATACGTACTCATCCATCCGTCACCATGCCCCTAGCTCAATACGCGCTCACTGGGGCGCTAGGTCAACTCTTTATCTTTGAGACTTTGCAACATTTTGGCTCTCTCACACTTGTGTAAGTAGTGATTTTGTATTGAATAAAGACTGTATTATTCACCAATCTTTTGGGTAGGACCATCACACTTACCCGCAAGCTTTTCACAATGTTGCTGTCTGTTTTCGTCTATGGCCACAAGCTCTCGGCAGAGCAATGGCTTGGTGCTGCAATTGTCTTTGCTGGTATATCTGTGGAGGCTTGGGTTAAACGAAAGGGTGCGCTGATGACGCCAGTCTAACGGAACGATCGCTTAACTTTCCTGTAGATGTGCACGCAAAAAGGATCATTCAAGAGAAAGAGAAAGCTAAGATCAAGACGTTGTGATATAGATGTATGGCGAAGACAGTATTGCAATACAGTTTATATTGGCAATGAGAACGGATATACAACAGGAGAGACAGTGTGGGTGGATGATATACATAGGATCATTAGAGTTGCAGAATTCACGTAACTTATAATCTCAATGCCCCAGAAAATTAGAATCTGAAACGTGCGGCGTACTATAAAGTGAACTATGATTCCATAGCATCATCTTGATCCATGAGAACGCGCTTGCGCTCATCCTCTCTGGTTTAAAGGATAGCGTTAAATCATGCACTCCACTGAGGCATTCGTCGATCCTACCTTTCATCTTCGCTGTCCTCGTCTGACCGCTTTCGCCTCACTGACACAAGACGTTGCTGTGGCGGGAATGCGGCTACGGCATTACGTGCTTTATATATAGACTCATACTCCTGTAAAGTATGCTGCTATGCAGCATCGTTCTAGAAATAGCATAAAATGAGATTACCTTGATTTGAGTGAGGAATCCACCGTTGGGTGAGATGCAGTATCGTCGATTTTGTACGAGATGCAATGCATCTTCCCAGGATAGATTGAAGTGTTGCATCACGTACATGACCACGAAGGACGGAGACAGACTGATACCGCCTTACACACCCATAATAATTGAGTGGTGTGGCGAAATGGCAAGCGTCAACAGGACGCACCATTGCAGTGGACAAGCACTCGGCCGCCCTGGGTGATTGCATTTTCAATGAATTGCTTTGCGCTTTTCAAAGCGCAGCATCAATTCTTAGCCCTCTGATGTGATGGAAATTGTGTACGAACGCAGGAAATAAGCGGATGAGGTTTTGCTCCTCGCTATCTTCGACATCCAATACCATGTACTGAAAATGGTCTGGAAACCGAGGACGCACAGAGAAGGCCTCTTTTGCGTCGCGTATGCATACCCTTGGGATTCAATATATATATCCAGGTCTGCGGCAAAGCTTGACAATCGCGAATACATACACGTGAGTGACTCCTAGGGATTGAAGCGTCTCCAACGATTTAGAGACCTGAAGCGGACCAAGGAGTAGGCTTGGAAGTATTTCCTGACATTTCCTGCGCATTTCATATCTAATCATATGTCAGAGCACTTAAGAATGGCTCAGGTTGATGGTGCGAATCGCGTACTTACGACCATTCAACGTCTCCTGGGCCTTGAATCAGCTCACGAATCTGCTCCTCATTCATGATTACCGCTGCCATAGCTCAAGAAAAGCACTCTGAATGCTTTGGTGGATGGAGCGAGCGATTGACGTGAGCAACGATACGTCCTAAGTAATGGTAATGAATCCTGCAGGCTCCCAAGGGCCTAACATGTGCGACGCGCGTCTACTTACGCGTCAAGGCCCCAGGCTCGCTTGACCTTAGGTTAGTGACTTACTACCAACAGTGAACAATAAATATGGAAGACGACGAAGAGATACCGTATGTTAACCGGATTTCCAATGAACAAATTGTGCTCGCTGATCGCGGTAGATAGACAACTCGTGGATGCGGGTGGAGCGAACATAGCGAGAGACGCGCAGCCTACGACGGTCCCTCTGACCATTATATGCGGATTTCTGGGGGCAGGAAAATCCACTTTGGTTAAGTATAGTTGTCTCTTCGTTCGAAATATTGAGGTTGGGGCTTAGCATTCACTATGCAGACGCATCTTGTCCGAGCGACATGGGTATAAAATTGCCGTAATAATGAATGAATTCGGTGATACAGCGGTGAATACAGCGTTCGGCCTGTTTTGTTCACTCATACTCATCTTGCAAGGTATAGGACATAGAAGGTTGGCAAGGCGTCCTCATTGGCCCCGATATGCTCTCACATGCATGGCTCACCAGCGAAAACCATTAATGTCACGTCTACTGGAGATACTGCTCAGCAATCTGAAGAGTTCCTTGAGCTTGCTAACGGCTGTTTATGCTGTAGTATCAAAGATTCTGGCATTGCGGCCATTGAGAAACTTATGCAGCGAAAAGGCGCCTTTGATCATATTGTATTAGAGACTACCGGACTTGCAGATCCGGGTACGATGACTTTTACCATTATGCTTTGTATATTTTCTGATATACTTCCATCGCTCAAGGTCCTATTGCATCGCTATTTTGGCAAAACGAGGAATATGCAATGGGTTTAGGCGAGGACATCCATCTCGACGGCGTAGTTTGTGTTGTTGATGCCGTTTTTGGGAGACAGGTGAGCAATATCTCTAAGTTGATCTCCCTCGTTTTGACACTCCTTTCTCAGCAAATGGAAGAGGATCATATTGACGATGGTATAGGAGAAAGTTTGAGGTATATGAGGTGCAATTACCGATTCCACCGAGACTGATGCATCATGCGTGTTATAAATCAGACAGATAGCTGGCTCCGATGTGATATTACTGAACAAGGTCGATCTAGTTGGTGCGACCGATATCGAAGAGACGGAAGAGGTCATTCGCAAGATAAACCCTGCCGCAACGATTTATCAGACAGTCCAAGCAGGAATCGATCTGAAAAACATTATGGGAATCAATGCATATTCTTCACGCTTGATATCACAAGGCTCTGCGCCGTTGCACTTACACATGCATGGGGATGATCACAGCCATAGCCATGAAGATCGTGGCCCAACCCATTACGAGATCCGGGGCATAACCAGCATGCAGATTGTCTGCCCTCCTCTGGGCCCATTACAATTCGAAAACCTTGACGAATGGATTCGCACCGTATTATGGGAGAGCCGAGTTCCTGGGGAAAACGACAATAGCTCAGAGCTCGAAATTCTGCGCTGCAAAGGGCTATTCGCCACCAAAGGAGGAGACTTATATGTGTTGCAAGGTGTGCGCAGCTTGTATGAAATTGTAAAAGTCGAGGGAGAGGGGGAAGAAGAAAGTACTGGGCTACCAGGTGTGGGCAAGATCGTGTTCATTGGGAAGGGTTTAGGTGAGAGAGTACGACGCAGCCTACATGAAATACTTCGGTCATAGGTAACACGGTCCACACGTACAATACACCATCTCATCGCACTTTCTTATACGGCCATGGCTTAGTTAATCTATGATGAATCGCGTACGATCATAGGTGGTTTTATCCAGGTGGGATTTCCGTCCCCTACAGCGAACTCTTTGACGACGTAAAATCCTTGATGCTCGTAGAAAGTTATTCCCAATATCAGATGATGCAAGAACCGTTAAAAAGACTGTCGGTCAGCCTGTGGAATGAATAGTTGGCCTAGTTGTTGATACCTATTCTCAAAGTCTGCTACCGACTCATTTCCAAGTCACGTATCTGACCAATTTGCTGGCATAGCCTCGTCTCTGTTTAGATGGGTAGGTGCACAGATTTCCTAGAATCATCACCCCTTTGGAGCCATCATCCGGGATATCTCGTCCTTCATGCAGAATTTTGGACAACGGTCCTCTCGCCGCTAAGAAGAACGGTGAGCGTTTCAGGGTTATAGCAGGCAGATGGTGCTACGACTGGCACTCGTGCGAGCCTGTTCTTTAAATTGCATAGCTTGTTCAGTGCTCTTTTGAAGAACAGCTCTGCGATGGGTGATATTCTTAGGTGGAGATTTCCGCGTTGAGCTTCTAAGCCTTTAGTGTAATCGATATGTGCCGACCCTACTCACTGGTAAACGTGTTCCTCCTGCTTACTGCCCTGACTAGTGGCATAGCGACCAGTATGGCATACCGTGTTTCCTGTAGGAGATATTTGTATGCATGCATCCGGTCAGTGCACTCGATAGCCACTTGTGATGTAGGAAGAACTGCATCACGAAGAATTTCTGCTTACTAGATACATCAATCTGACCTGGATCATGTTATTCAAGTTGTTTGAAGGCTTTGACTACCGATCACACGGCTTTGGGGGTACTGCATATCCCTTACCATCTAATCGGGAAGCTGGCGGTACCCGACTCTCGATAAGTTGCATTGAAGGTCCACGTGCACTAATGAAAACCCACCCCACCAGTCTGATAGTTGGTCGTAAGCGCGATGCTAGTCGTTCATTATGAGAAGGATACATCCTGAATATGCAAAGAGTGCTTGGACGAAATGATACGACATCCAACGTGCCATCATGTCGAGGCTAAGACCGTCCTAGCAGACCTGTCCAGTCAAATTGATCATACTTCCTTCTGAATCGTGCCACACGGTCTTTGTTTTGATGAAAATCTACCCGTCTGGGCCGTCGCCACCGACGAGGCTCCAATTCAAGAAGATTGCCAATGATCTCTCCCGCAAAGTACCTTTGTAGTATAAAGGCTTGTCATTAGTATAGATCAGAACGCAGATGTTTGCGAGAACTTACCAAGGAAATTCGCCTCCACCTTTCTCCCCTTCGTCAATGTCGCCCTCGGGATCATCACCGTTGCCTGCTGCTTCCTCCGTGCCCTCAATAACATGCCCGTAGCCTTTCTCGCCCTTATAATCAAATTGGACCATAAAATAAGGCAGATTGGGTACCATTGCCCTACGGAAACCACCCGGTCTGGAGAAGTTGATCAATTTTTTATGCTGAGCCCACTCTGTCTCCGATGCAAGTATAGATTCCTTCGTAGATGGATCCATGTGTCAGCAACAAGAAAAAGCGTCATCAGTAAGCGAATCACCTTGAAATATCCTGGAATTACTTCAAACTGCGCCCACGGTAGGGGCACGCACTCGATCACTGTGTGTTTCTGCCGCTTGAGCGAGATAACGGTCTCATAAAAAATGACACCTTGGTCTTCCTCTGCAAACATTCTCATGAGGCACTTCATGAAGTTCTGGTGAGAAAATATATCACAATGAATGAAAATCTGTCAATACTGCACAAGTCAAAACATACCCGAACTTCATCCCAAACGTCATCATCGCCTTCCAGCATCGTAAGATGATGTTGAATAGGAACGATGAGACAGTGACCCGGTACGAGCTCGTCTGTGAGCGTGCAAGAGAGGTAGACACGGGTTCCAAGTGCAATCATAGGGGACCTAGGCAAAGAGTCGTCCTCGCTATAACAAAATGGACATGTAGCCAGGACTTTTTGTGTCCGCTTATAATCTGTTTGATTTAATGTAGGAAGACAGCCGACACTAGTTGACGAGCATGCAACAACATACCATTGATAGCAAATTGCCGTTTCATAGCGTCAGATCGCATCTTTTTCCTGCCTAATTTTTCAGCGTTGTCATCCATATATTCCAAATCATTCTGTAAAAGTCCGTTGAATAAGTATCAGCATAGAGGTAGTTCTCCATATACCTCAAATTTGCCGTCCGACATTATCTGGCGAGCGAACTCCGCATCCAGATTCTTCTGGTCTGCTGGACCTGCGCCCATCCTCTCCTGTCGAAGCATTTCACCCAGCGTAATAGAGTCGTCATCCGCATTATAGCGAACAATTTCACCCGTCTTAGGATCTCGAGTCTCGACCTTGATCACAAAAGATAAATAAATCAAAATGTTGATATCAGCTAACTTGACAAACTCACGTTATCTTTCTTCTTGCGATTTCCGTAAGGAAGAGTGTCATCCCCTGTACCTCGTCCCAAGTCATATAGCCGCCCGCGCGCATCGAGTGTCGGTAATACTTCAACCTTCGTTCGAACGCTGTCATCACCTGTTCTGCTTCCATGGGCCTTATGTACCTCTTCCTCATATTCTTTCTCCAGCTTCTCAGCGTCAGGCGCGCTCATGAGTTTCGCTCGTAACACCTTCGCTTGCAACTTGTTTAACGAAGAAGGCGACAGAGCACGAGATTTCGAGCTCATATACGACACCGATGGCGTCACTGCGGTCGGGATGGGAGAGTGAGATAGTGCTTGGGGTGATCCTTTTTGTGAAGAGAGTTGCAGTGAATCAAATCGTTTGCTCCTTGGACGAGGCTCTGGTGTCGGCGTCGACGGTGTATTCGCTCCTAGACCTGGACGCCGGAACGAAGAGCTTTGACTAGACAGCGCGCTGCCACCGATGTCAGTGAACATGAAGCGCCTCCCACCTTCCGGTTCTTTACCCTTCTCCTTCCGCTCTCCACCTCGACCCGCGCGTCTACCTTCCCTCTCATCGAGGATACGCCGCTCTTCTTGTGCTTCATGGAATGCTTCCATAGACTCAAACCGATCGAGCGCAACATCCTCCACTGACTTGCCTTCCTCCTCTGCTTGTTCATTCACTCGCCTCAGCTTCATCATCCGCCACTGCGAGCCAGGTCCACCAGGAATATTAGCTTTAGGGGTGATCTGGGGGATTTCGTCCAGGTGTTTGCCCTCCTTGAGTCCCATGTTGAGCTCTCTGTGGCTGACGTGAAGCTACAAATCAGAAACGAACGTCAGCTCGGTTCACCACAAAGACAGGACCGTAAGAACAGTGAGCACCTTATCAGGGTCAGGTCGGTCCGGCGGGGGCTTCTTTTTGTATTCTGTGCCAAGAGTAGAGAAGAAATCGACAGTACTGCTTATTGTCCCTGCTGTTTTTGACGGCTCGCCATAGTCTTCCGTAAGTAACTCATCGCCTGTTGGCACATTCAAAACAGTGCGGACTTCGGGCACAACAGAACTGAGTGAAGGCATTAGCATCCATTCCTCTCGCTTCAAGCTAGTCTCTGTCCTTGTCGGAGGAGGAAGAGGGGGGTCAGTGGGCTCAACAGCACCCCGAGACTTTAACGCTAAGCTTTCTGTGGTAGGGATTGTCGTCCCAATAGGCTAGACAATTGCAGTGTTAAATCATGATAGGATCAAAATTGAGTAAACATGCCGTCTCTCCGTCCATATCAATGTTCTTCTCTTCCCACATATCATCGTCATTAGGGTCATTGTCAACGATGTGAACGTGCGTGCTCTCTTTGCGACGCTTGCTTGAGCTGTGGCTGTCCGACTTATGTTTTCGCTTACTTGCGCCCCGATCAGTCTTGTCATGCGAGTATTTGTGCTTCGAAGAGTGTTTAAGCTCGTCGCGACCCATTGGAGTAGTGTGCAGAGAAAATGTAAGCAGAAGAAGCGGCGATGTAGTTACATCGTGCTCTCGGCTCGGCGCTCAGGCGCCTTAATACCCGTGACAAGTTCATCACCGTAGTGATCCTGATCATGCTATAAAAGGCAAGCGTACAGTGTAGCGACGCTCCTTTTCACACCTAAGCGCATCATGACTGTCTGTGCCGTTCATCAGGCCAATCGCTCACAAAAAGTATCTACATAGTTTCTTCTCTATCCCAATATGATTCTCATTTACTCTGATCTTGGGATTTGAGCATAAGGGATGTATTTTCGGAACATCTTGTTCGACGACGATGAGCTTGGATTTGGTGGTCCTTTTCACAGTGACAATCTGTGACTACCAAACCATATTACTGATTGTGATAGTTTCCAAATATGGGTGCTCTATGGTCACACACTGTGCAAGCTGGCCGCATCTTTGCGCTGAAGGTGGCGCATTACATCATGATCTAGGCCTATCTTGTGCGCGCTTGATGTGCCATGTCACTTCTCGTCATGTTCTGCCACACCATGTTCGACTTTCAGATAGATTGTATTACGGAGGGACATACAATCCTCTGATCTTGCCCATTAGCAGATATAAAATGAGGAAAAATGTGTTCTGAAGCTGGTAGTACAAAAGATCAATGCCAGATGTGTGTTGTGCAACAAGCAGCACATCAACACAATTCATTACTCTTTGATGCCAGTGGATGTTGCTGGTTCACAGATTTATAGAGCCATAGCACCATGACCGATAGGTCTAATATTTGGTGTGTAGCTAGTGTCCATATCTAGTAACTTCAAACAAAAATTAGAAGCTTATCGGTATAGAAATGGATAAGTTTCTCGATGGGTGTGAAAAGGACCAGGGATGTGAAAAGGAGTGTCGCTGCACTGTATATGCCAACTCCTTCGAAATCGGGGGTGAAGTCTAGTATTGCAGAACGTGGGTGGAATTGGTCAATGCGAAATTGAGAAGTTGACGTAAATTATTGCCTGGTAATCAATCATGTAGCTTGTGCACTATACAAAACGTCCGCCTTTAGATACTACTACTTACTGCCAGCCTGAGCACACCAACTTGAAAAGAGGACAAGGTAAGTGTTGTCTGTTGCCGCAGAGCAAAAGTCGACAGCCGGGTTCTCGCTGTCGAGTGCCACCATTTGTGATTCTTAGTTTTATGCTAATGCAAAAAATGAGTATCGTGACATGTCGCTTCCGAAGAGCAATAAACAAAAATTACACGAGAACGGCGGCAAATAATGTTATGAGAAAGATGCAACAAGAATATGGGATATAAAATCTATGCGGTCAACCCTAGTTTCACAATGTTTGCCCTCACGCAATCATTGATAGAGACACCTTCTCCTGGATTTGTGTAAGTTATCATAGCATAAGTTCCCTTCGCTACAGATGAAGGATTGATTGCCAAAGAAGAATCTACTGTCTGCAGATCGGTTAGAAACTAGTGATATACAGTCTTTGCAGACCAACCTTTACGAAGTGCTTGAGCCTACTAGGTGTGATCAGAACATCAGGTGCGAAGCTAGCCTCAGCACCACCAGTACAGATATTAAGACCGCCAGAATGAGATACATCGAGGTTCACCTCATGTGAAAGATCGTAAGGGGCCGGAAATAACGGGTAGAAACTACGCATGAGTTAGAAAGAATATTCTAAGAATGTCAGACCGTACCTTCGTTGCTGCAATATGTGACGACATGTGTTCGTCATCAAATCATTGGCGTGTTCCTCTTTGCTGACGGAGGGAATAGGATCAACCTCTTGCGCGCGTTTCACGAATTCCTCTTTGCGCAGGTGGAAGAGGACATCTACGCTGGTGATCGCGAAGGACAAGCCGTTTAACGAAAAGCGGCAAGGATTTGGTAGCATAAGAACGCGCTGGTGGGCAACGGGTCGGTCACCTCAATGCTAGTATTTTCAAGGACTGGACATACAGGATCGGGGGCAAATCCTGAGCCGAGTTCGCACTGTGGTAAAACTGCGTGATCGCTTATCGCGTCTCGCACACTAGGAACAATTAATACCATGCTATCTGGAGATGATTTTAGAAAGTCCAGCAGCTGGAATTTATCATGGAACATGTCAGCCGCAGAAATATCCATTTCACCGTTCTTCACTACTGGGTGATTGACGTCAATGAATGGCCCCACCTATAACGTACATATAAGTGAGGACAGCATGTTCGCTGTGTTGAATTACTTACAAGTAATAATACGGTGGGCTTCTCCACCTTGACTTTATCCAGCAACTTTTTCCAGGAGTTAAAATTAAGATCAGAGTCGGGGGTGAATGGACCACAAGCGACGCATATACTGAATGAATCGGCGCTGTCACCTGTGGCAATTCCAGGATTAGGTGGAAGTGGCGGCAACTGTTGCTCCAATTAACCATCATAATGAATGCTCTGAGAAAGCTCACAGTAAGTATCTCGGTGACGAGAAACCAGCCGCCGCCACCATTCTTGCCTTTGCACGCAACAATAGCACCTGGGAAGAATCCGATGCTTCCAACCCCTTGTCTTGCTTGACGAATTTGTAGTGCTGGATCGAATCGTAGAGACACTCTGACACCAGAACCCATCTGGCGCGACGACTCGAGAACCAAAGAAGCTTCATTCAATTTCGCGCCTCCGGAGGTTTCAAGGTCATGCACGATCCGGCCTACTACTGTCACAATTTCCTAAGGATCATATTGAAGTCGCCGTAATTGATTGAAAAAGGAGACGTACTTCAGTAGCAGCAGAAGGATCAGACAAATCCTCAATGCCATAGTGCTCTTTGACTAGTTGTCCCATGTCGTCTATACGTCTATCTAGCGCTAGATGTAATGCGTAAGTCAAATGTGAGGATATCTCCTAGGATTGATTACCTGTACTTCGATCATAGACCGTCTCGTACATGTACCGGTCTGCGTTTCAGTTATTAGTGGCCATTCGCTTCGGACAAGTTTTGAACGTAGTGCTCACATTGATGTCGTTCATGCGGCACTTTGTCGGATTTTGGTCCAATGAACCTCACTTTACTCGAGCCTGCAATAGATGCTTTCTGTTCGCTCGCCGTCATATCGAAACCATCCTGTCTGCGTACACTGGGCTTTACGGGTATCTTGTTTCCGAGTTGAGCATCTAGCCGTATTCCCGGTCTTCCAATTCCGCTCCCGAGATTTCGTGAAAGAGGTCCAGTCAAATTGACTCTGACTTTCTGCCTCACGGTCGCTTTGGCCAAATCGCTCTGGCACTTCGCTTTGAGAGCCGGAATGACATCAGATGCGAATGGTTGTCGACCGGATACCCCAAAATTCATTGCCTCCCACTTATAAAAGAGGTCTTCTCCACTCAAGTTGAACATTTGACAAATTTTTGCACCTGAGGATACAACCAGAACCAGAATCAATGATATTACGCAAGCAACAGGCGTGTTAACTGACATTCTGCGATAAGAGCTTCTTCCAAAACACCAAAACACTCCAAAATCTCGCGACGTAGTGTTTCCATGTGTCAAATAAGTACGTTTGATATCGTGCTCGAGGATGGACTTAAAGACGGCTGTGGTGCTTCGGTTTAAGAAACTCGACTAGTTCGACGCGTCAACTCGCGTCGGTCACAAATTGTCACACATAGCATGTCACATCAAGTATCAATCTTTGAATCACCAGATACCTATAGTACGATATTCAGATGTGAAGGCGCACCGGGTCGGATAGTAGTACAGCTAATTCCTGACAATAAAGAGAACGGCGCGTACGGGAAAGAATACACATTGCATACCAAAAGTAAAGCTACCTGCCACATCAAACAGCGATGATTAGTTCAATGCCATAGCCACGCAGCCAGCTACATCGTCAACCATCGTTCTCTTCGAAGTTGTTCTCCGTGTGATCAGTTGACAGCTCATCGGATGATTCAGGTTTTTCTGCCTCATCTACAGTTGCCGCTGTTTGTGGCTCTGCAAGAGGACTCTCTTTACCCGGCATCATAGAGGAGTTGGTTGGGGATATGGATAAAGGCTGATGGCTGTTGACTGAAGGGGACGACGCATGCGGGATGCTGCAGGAATACTGGGATCTTAATCAAGACAGACTATAGCTGGGATGACATCTACTCACTTCTCCGGGTTGGGGATAGCAGTGCCAACGGCATTCTGAGGGGCAACGCCAGCTTTCGAGAGGGCATAATCTCCAGAATCAAAGTATTTCCGGTCCTGAAGCTAAGATGAACACAACCAGAACTCGGCTCAGTATTGATGATGGGGACAGCACACCTTCTGCATTTTCATCAGGACGTTCTTGTGTGTGGGCAACTTGCCATATAACCGGAAAAGCTTCTGCTCCTCCTCTGTAAGCTTCTGTATTGGTATTCAGCGTTACAAAAGGGTGGATTTCGTCGTAGTGCAAGAAGCGGTGAACAAATGCTCACACTCATGTCAACCTTCTTCCGCTGAGCCGGTAACATGATGGCGAACTGGGTCGCAAGAAAGGAGACAAACGGCAAGAGCGCGAAGGCTCTGACGAGCAGGCACAGAAATAGAGAGCGGGAGCCTTATGGGAAAGCGATAACGGGTGGTGGACGGTGATGCGTTTGTAGGAAGGAGCGCGCCGAAACATTACCGAGGTCTCCAGCCACTGCCCAGAAGCGGAGCCTGGCGGAACTTGGAATGGAGTACTGCGGTTCATGACGTAAGCACGTGGTCTTCCTGATCGGTGTCACGTTTCCCTCTCAGATGACGACCGCCAACTGCTCAGTATTTAGTACTGAGAGTCGGCAGACTTAGCCCATGATGAGATCTGGACACCTCCGCACCAGACTGGAATGAGAAATGCAAAACATTCGTTTGCATTGCTAGTCTACTAAATCAAGGATCACCTCACATGCAGCTACCAGACCCCTTTCTATCATACTGGCACTGTCTCGGCTGCCTAGCTCCATCGTGACACAGCACGACACGGGCGCGTGTCCAGAACAGAAGGCTGCCTCGTTACAACCATGCGTGGTTTCATCGATTTGAAAGAATGAGCAATGGTGGTAAGTACAGCCGTCGACCCAAGCACGATGTGATAGAGGCAGCTCTAGACCCCCAGCGTTCCTTTTCGAGCTTTGCGAGTTCTCCGCAAGTGCAAGAGGGCTGCCATGCCCTTCCAGGCCGTTTGTAACCTCGCGGCTGTGATGCACCAGCAACCGATTACTAATGCACATCGACGGCATCGATGAAGAAATGTCTGTCGTATCTCCCAAGTCGGAAGCTGTGTCCATAGAGACTATACAAGGGGTTACTGTAGAATCTCCAGCAGCGAACAGTGTCGCCCAGTCGTCGTCAGATTCGGAGTTTCCGAGGTCGGCTTGCCTTTGGACTAAGCATGACGCGTCATGATAGTTATCGCCAGAAACTATTGTCATACAATTGCTGCCAGAGGATTTTGTAGATCGAGGGCGACAAGACGGGCAATTGAAGAGGCCATCGCCCGATACACCTTCACCTTCTACAATTGGCCAAAAAATTGAGTTGTCAGGTGGGCCATGCGTACACTCTAGCGGGGAGAACAAGCCATCGCCAGAAATGGAATCTGTTGGTTCTTCGATGGCCTTGAAAGTAAGATCAGAACAAATGAGGTCTTTGGGAAACTTCGTCATACGTACACGATTGGAGTTGTTACGCATCAAAATACCTCGACAGTCATGCATTTCAGATGTACTCCTCGTGGGAGCGAAAGGATCCTCGTAGTCTGTATGTGCGCTTGCATCCAGCTGTAATACAGGGATACCATACGCTTGAAATGAGTTCCAAGATAATTCTCTCTGTACGGCATCAATGTCGGCCTCGCCATCAAGTCCCATGTCAAAGTCGTCGGTGAAACCATGGAGGGTGTCTGCCTCGTCGTCGTCCTCGTTATCGTCCAGAAGGTATTCGGAAGTCGAATTCAGGATTTTGGTAGTATCATCTGACGAGACTGTGCTGAGTTGGTCAAGTACAGATTTATCATCTTCAAAATCAGAGGTGACAGGCTGGCTTAGAACATGCTGGCCCTATTAATGAGTAGGCAACAATGAGAGGCTGTCAGTGATAAGAATAATTCACCTTGAAAGGTGAAGGCTTAATAGTTCGCCTGAATAGTTCTTCAAGTGAAATGCATATTATATCAACTTCTGACGGCGTTGCCACATCGACTTCGATTTCGGAAGCGCCAAAATGGTCGGAAAGAGCAGCGTGCAACTCAGACGCAGCGGACGAACAACGTCTTCTCAAAATCTATGTCGCGATAAGATTAAATGAGGTGATGTATGGGACAATTTACCTTCAAGATTCGGCGAAATTGGCGACGAAAGTCAGGATCAGTAGACCGCTCGGCGATGTTCCTGACAGAGTCAGCAATAGATGGTATGTAGGTCGTCTCCAAATCGAGTCGCTACGCATATAGCATAGGCATAAATACAGTGACGATGTAGAAAGCGCAAGCGGTATCCATAAAATACTTACATTACGCCAGGGGCCGAAGATCATCGGATACCACCTGTGCGCCAGTACACAACGGCTCATGAGATCACCCCCGTCATGAAAATATGTACACACCCTACGAGATGAAGCGAAACAAACTTCTCAACCAGATTACCGAGGACAGACAGTAGTGGGAGGTAAGCATAAGTGCCAAATAGATCGGTGCCTTCGACCACTAGGCGCTATCTAGCTTACCAATCATAGTACATTAAACGTATAGACGTACTTTGTTTATCTCGGTTGGTAGAATTACACGATAACAAAAGCTCCAGCGATAGGAGGCGTACGAATGAATGAACACTGAGGTTGGCTGGCCGGGATGGCGCTACAGCAACTGAAAAATGTTAGAAACGACTGGAGGACACCTTGGAGATCATATACACTTTGCGAAACCATCTTCGTCAATGAAGATATCAGTTACGGTACTTATGCCCAACTGACGAGAATTCTGGGGAGCCCAGTCAGACTACAAATATTCATGATAAGGTTGCTCATACCGTTTGGAAGTATTCGACTATATGTTTTGCTGCAGCAGATTTTTGTATAGTAATAGGTGCTATGTCTACGGAGTCGACTGTGCCGCATATACGGAAGATCAGGTTAGAACCTAGTATAACGTCCACATTATCCGGTATGCGGCCCTTAATTCTGAATAAAGTTGGAGATGCCTTTCCGGAAATTAGGATGTGATGAGCATGCAAAGAAACAGCTGTATTCTCCAGAGTTTCACGAACAGCAGAGCAGACTGAGAGCGTCGGCATGATGGCGTCGATGAACAAGCCTGTCAGTTGGAGGAAAGGTGGCAAGATAACTGCGGTATATTTGCAATTATAACTGCTTACCAGCACATATAAAAGTAAATTGTGTAGACAACAAGCAAATGCACACATCACTGCCTCTTCGGTCCTTCGAGTCTGCGGCAGTTCGTCTTCTCTTTCACTTTGTCTGCAAGTCCATCACAGTCCCGCTACTTGCGGGTGCTCGCTCTGCGGTAGAGAGCTATGGTGCGTTTCGGCATGGCCTTTGTTTACGCGCTACGCTCCTGACAAATGTCGGTCAAGGCGAACGAACTGGACCAGAAGATCCAAGATGTCTACAAGCGCATCCAGACCGAGCGTAATGTTTTGGATGGGCTTAAACGCTTCCGCCAGGCCACCACCAATCCGGATGTCCTCAGAGGGACCGATGCAAAGTTTAGAGAAGCAGAGCGCTCGCTCTCCTATTTCGAGGACACTCTCCGCCAGTTGCAGGCTCGCAAGATGATGCTAGCCCGCGACGATCAACAGAGATCAGGAAGCCCGGGTCCTGGTCAGCGTCCTGGGCGTGCGGCTGACACTAATCGCAATGCTCAGTCGCAGTATTCAGATGGGTCAAGGCGTGGCGCACAGAGCCCCCAGTCTCCCGATGTGCGCACGTCAGGCGGGAGCTTTCCGGGAGACGATGCGTTCAGCACCCCTGCGAAGACGTACACAAAACTCGATCTTATTAAGGCGGACACACCTCATACCACAGCCAAAATTTCGTGCATGCTTCATGAGCTCGAGTTTAAGTTACAGGTCGAAAAGCAGCTAAAGAAAGGTATTGACAAGATGGCTAAGGTGTTTCAAGCCGAGGGCGATAAACGATCAAGAGCGGAGGCTGAAAGCAAAAAGATAGAAAGCGAGAGAAAGATACATCTACTGCAAACTGCCCTGAAACGCTACGAGAAATTACATATCTTAGATGATGCCAATGAAGAAGAAGATATAGGTACGTAATGTATTGCATTCTTACATTTCGTTTATAAAGTATACAGAGATTAATCAAAATATGCCAGGCCCCTCCGGCGTTGGCGTTCCCGGTGTAGACGGGGAGAGAAAGGATATTCGCTCCAAGAATCTATCCGGAAAGCTCCAGGTTACACTGAAAGGCGCTCGCGAGCTGGAGCATGCCCCTCTCGCATCGCGGTCTCGCTCTGCGTCAAAACAGGTCGAGACCTTCATTTCTTTCAAAGTGGAAGGCACTGAACGTGCTCGCTCGCATCCTTCCCGAACCGATCGTTGGATGGAGGACTTCGAGATTACGATAGAGAAGGCCAACGAAGTGGAGATTACAGTTTACGACAAGCAAGTTGGGGAGGCACATCCCGTTCCGATCGGATTGCTTTGGATCAAGATCAGTGACCTGGTGGACGCACAGCGAAAGCAGAAAGTCATGATGGAGACCGGCCAGGGGGGCTGGGTCACTGCTGGTGCCATGGATGGCGATGCCGCTGCGATTAGTGCTCAAGCGGGAAGCGTGGGCGATATGAATGCACCTATTGGTTTTGGTGATAATCGAGTCGTACCGCCGTCCTCCATATCTACGGCCCAGTCTGAGGGTATTGATGCTTGGTTCGCTGTTGAAGCTGCCGGCGCGTTAGCGCTTCACCTTAACTTCGGCATGTGTTCATTTTGTCAGTCTATGCCCATTTACTGATTGTGTATGTGTTTAGTTAAGGAGAACGTGCGTAAACGTCCGTTAGATGCCCCTGGCGGTTTGGGTCGTCAAGGTGCTGTTCGCAAGCGCAAAGACGAGGTACATGAGATGAACGGACACAAGTTTGTTCAACGACAGTTTTACCAAATCATTCTATGTGCGTTCTGCAACGAGTTTTTGCTCAATGCAGTTGGCTACCAATGTGAAGATTGTCGGTATACCTGCCATAAGAAATGTTATGAGAAGGTTGTGACAAAGTGTATCTCGAAGTCTAATACTGGCGTAAGTTGTCTCAGACCTCCAAGTATTTGGTTCTGACCTTTTCAACGTGTTGCAGGACGATGACGCAGAGAAGATCAATCACCGGATTCCTCACCGGTTTGAGCCGATCACCAATATTGGTGCAAACTGGTGTTGTCATTGTGGCTATATGCTCCCTCTAGGCCGCAAGAACGCACGAAGGTGTACTGAATGTGATATTACTTGCCACGCCAACTGCGCGCACCTTGTACCCGATTTCTGCGGGATGTCGATGGAGACCGCTAATCAACTCCTGCGAGACTGGCGAGATATCAACAAAGCGCGAGGAGGCAAGACACTTGTTCAGCCACGTCGAGCAACTCAGCATCAGCAGCTTACCTCGATGCCTCAGCAAGCACCGTTAGACCAGATCAGTAGCGACATAGAGCGTATGCAGGTTATTGAACCTCCAGTTCCGCAGAAAGACGTTGTCTATGGTCGCCCAGTTCCCCAAGGAGCTTCAGTGGAGATAGCCTTTCCTGACCAGCGTACGGCATCTCCAGGTCCAGGGACATATCCTGGACAGTCACCTCGACAGCCACCTATAAGCCGACCAGCTGCCTCCTCGCAGCTTCCCACAGAATCACCATCACAAGCTATCTCAGGACACTCCGGATCTGGAGGGTACGAACCGCCAGAAGCTTACGGATACCCTGTAAGAGACTGCATAGGCACTGGTCTATTGCGCTGCTAATCTTTGAGCCTGGTCCAGAGTTCACCCGCTCAACAAGCAGTCCCTCCGAAAGAACTACCTGGCTATGCCGCTCGCCCTAGCCAGTCAGACCGACAACCCTCGCTGCCACCACCTTCTCAGCAGGTGCAACAACCGACGTCTCAGCAGTATCGACCGCCTGCGCGTAAGCGAAAAGTTGGTTTGGACGACTTCAACTTCTTGGCCGTGCTTGGCAAGGGTAACTTCGGTAAGGTTATGCTAGCGGAAGAAAAGACTACAAGTAGCCTTTACGCTATCAAAGTCTTGAAGAAAGAATTCATCATCGACAATGACGAAGTTGAGAGGTAATTTTAAATCGTCCTATCGTCTGTTATTACATCAACTTATCATGTGTATAGTACGCGCTCCGAGAAGCGTGTGTTCTTAGCTGCTGCGCGAGAGCGGCATCCCTTCCTTTTGGGACTCCATTCATGTTTTCAGACCGAAACACGTGTCTATTTCGTCATGGAGTATGTAAGTGGAGGTGATCTCATGTTGCATATCCAGCGCAAGCAATTCTCCTTGCGACAAGCCAAATTTTACGCCTCGGAAGTGCTTCTCGCCCTCGAGTATTTCCACGCAAATGGCATCATCTACCGGTTCGTAGAAACGAATCGAAGCATTTCGCAGAAACATTAACTGCAATACAGTGATCTCAAGCTGGATAATATACTATTGACTTTGGATGGACATGTCAAAGTGGCAGATTACGGTCTCTGCAAGGAGGACATGTGGTATGGCTCGACGACGAGCACATTCTGTGGTACCCCAGAGTTCATGGCTCCTGAGGTGAGACAGCTATCAATATCATCATAACTCTTCTTCACATTGCCGTTTTCTACAGATCCTTTTGGAACAGCGCTACGGTCGCGCCGTTGACTGGTGGGCTTTTGGTGTTTTGATGTATGAAATGCTACTAGGACAGTCGCCATTCCGTGGGGACGATGAAGATGAGATCTTCGATGCTATATTGGAAGATGAGCCGTTGTACCCAATTACAATGCCCAGAGATGCAGTATCAATACTTCAGAAGGTTCGCTAGAGGCTGTCTAACCAAAACTTGGCTCATCATCCACCAGCTACTTACCCGGGATCCAGCACGACGACTGGGATCGGGCAAAGCTGACGCAGAAGAGATCAAACGACATCCATTTTTCAAGGACGTTAGCTTTGATGATGTACTAAACAAGCGGATTCCTCCAACTTATTTCCCTACAGTCGTACGCTGTCTATTCAATCGCAGTTCATGGATAGTCACTCACTGTCTGATAGAACGGCAGCGCTGATACCAGCAATTTCGACGAGGAATTCACACGTGAACAGCCGACGTTGACACCAGTGCACACTCAACTCTCTACCCGTGACCAGGCTGAGTTCAACGGATTCTCTTGGGTAAAAGTTGATCACTTCAGTATCTTATAACTGATCTGATCGTGTTATATCACAGGTCGCGAGTTGGGCAGACGTTTAGCCGCTACAACTCTAGGCATAATTATTACGTTTACCTTTCGCTGCACACCAAACGTCCCACTGTATTTGGATACCTGTAGTTGCGTCAATCCACATTGCGAGTCCTCCATGAATGCTGGCTGCTCAAGCTTTATATATCAATTTGGTGGGTCGCACCGACACTTCCTTGCTTTGCAGTAAGAACATGTCCTCCCGTCCCCGGCAGCCCTTTGGGCTGCTCGGTCGACAACTCGCTGGGTTCGTCTTGTTGGCCGCGCATTAGGTCGTGGAAGCTCTGCCAGAGTGCAGCGATCGTCTCATATTCTCTCGTCATCCCTAATACCTCCTCAAGCTTGCGGTTTAAACCATTACTCGAAGATAAAAGCTCTTCGAAGCCCTGACGAGCGAGGTGGATGTTGAAAATTGTCACGGCGTTGTAGAAGTAGCCGTACTTACACTCGTAATTTCTGCTGTCAGCCGGTCTCTCTCGCGTTCAAAAAGTGTGCTATCGACCTCTTCCATCCTTCGGTGTGCGAGGATGGCAGCAACGCTGTTCGGGTTTAATTCTTGACGAGTGATGGTGACAAGAGTTGACGGTGTCTGTGCAAGTGGCGACGAAAGATAGATTCCCACGCATGATTTATGTCTGAATCGGGTAGTCATAGGCCAGACAGCTTAGCACGTGGCTGCGCGGTCTCCCACTCAGTCCTCAGTGCTACCCTGCTACCATCTGCTTTCCACCCGACGTCTACCGGCGCAACCTTGTCTATGGTGTCATTATCCACTACTGCTTATCCTGTAGCCGCGTCTACGAGCTACGTAACAGAACAAAAGCCACCAGCCGACGAGCCATATATACCCACTTTCTTCTGTCGTGCGCTCTACGACTACCAGACCGCGGACGCCTCGTCCCTCTCATTCCGCAAGAACGATATCATCGAAGTTCTCACTCAGCTCGAGTCTGGATGGTGGGATGGTCTCTTAGGAGACGAACGCGGCTGGTTTCCTAGTAACTATGTCACCGTCATATCCGACCAGGAGGCAGAGGCCGCTCTTGGCCCGTCGGAGGCGATACCCTCTCAGCCGGACGATTCGTTGATAGTCTCACAGCAGGACCGCGATGGTGAATGGATGGGCAGCGATGTAGACATTCATAATTATGCGAATGGTCGCCCTCATACAAATGGGAAGTCTGCACACGACTTCTGGGTGCCCCAAGTCTCCCAAGACGGCCGAGTGAGTGCCCTGTTCAAACTACCAGATGTCATGTCGCTCATGGCTTGCGATTTACTCATCATATCTCTCTTGCTTTCTCGTCGGATAAATGTCATCTCGACTCCTGGTTGCGTATTTGACAATGTTGTTCATCGTTCTCACCTTGCTCGCGACACACGGCTTTATTCGTATCTACATACTATGCCGAATCAACTGACTGGAACTTCCCGTCGACCTCATCTTACCTCCTTGCTGGTATCTTGTTCGCTGGATGTTAAACCGAACTTACCGTCGATGTCACATCGACTGGCGATGTTTTCATTATCTAACCTCCCATGTATGACTTCAATGCCACCTGGACTCTGTCTCTCGGTCGTCGCCACTTGCTAACCATCCTCTGTTCCTCACGTCATCCATTCTTCCTGCCTCACGTAGATCTTCTACGTCAACACACAAACTGGCCAGCATTCGAGAGATTTGCCACAGGAGGTGGAGGACGACTCTGAAACAGATCTCACTGGATTAACATCCCAAATATCTACACTTGCAGCAACCACAGCGACCGCAGGATTTGGTGTTTCGTCCAAGCGTTCGCACCTACCGGAACCTTGGGTGCGACGACTGGCTGATGATGGCCTATCCTATTACTACATCAACAAGCTGAACGGGACGGTTTCATGGACATCTCCGCAATCAGAGCTCTCCTCGAGAAATGGGAATGGTGTACAGCGTTTGCGATCGGGTTCAGCAACGAGCAGCGTTCATTCTGATGACTCCGAACTATTCCCTACGCGGCGTGAGCGGTCTGGGTCGTCCGCGAGCGTCTTTGCTGCGGGAGTACCTCGACGTCAGGTCGAGCTCGCACCTGCAGAACAACTTGCGCAAGAGCTGCAGCAGGCGCTGACAGCCTCAGCAGAGGAATCGCCTATGGAATTGTCAAATCGTGTCCGAGAAGCAATCGCAAGCGTGTCAGAAATTATGCCACATGGTGGGAGTGGACTCAGAAGAGCCGACCAGGGCACTGAGATAGACCAACGGGTGTTGGAGGTCGTTCGCGCGGTGCGCGACCTGTTATACGTGACGGCGACGCCTTCAGGGCACATCCCAAGTCATTTGTACCCGCGCGAGACGCGAGACGCGCGGCAGGGATCCGCTAATCAATCATTGCAGTCGCATCTGAAGGGTACGCAACGGAAAGTCGCGGGGACACTCTCAAAGCTAGTTTTATCGGCGCTGGCAATGCAGTATGATCCGGGCCTTTCGACCGGTGACAAACCAAACCGAATGGAAAGTGATATAGTGGAACTCGAACGTGCAATCGTTGCAATCGTTACGGAAGTACACTATTTCCAGGAAAAAAGTGTACAGCCCCAGAATCAGCCCGTCGCGGGTCTGAAACGGCTCTATGGAATGTTTTCAACTGCGAACATCGGCCTTGGACTTCCAGGTGCCGGTCATGCTGGGAGCTGGCAAGGTTTCGGCTATGTGTCATATAATAATCAGGCACAGTCGCCCCTTCGCAGCCTCGCCGCTGATCAGATCTCTGAGCTCAAAGTCATCGCGAGAGCACTTGTAGAGAAGCTTGGTGCGGTGACTGCGTCGTTAAAGCGATCTGATTTTGAACCAGGTGGGTAGCTCGATGATGAGTCTTACCCTGTTCACTAACATGTCTCCTCTGTCAGAGCGCTTACGACGGGACATACA